GTTTTCGGTAGTCATCTCTCACAATAGACTCTTTTAGTTATTTAGAGTAAAACCCATTAAATTTATCAATTTCAGAGTTTACGGCCTATTCACCAGACCCTTCCGGGTAACTAGCCACTCCCTGTGAAAATACACATTTTTATCAAAGTATACACATAAATAAAACTATATTTTAACATTTGTCAATAATTTATAATATAAGGGTCACATAATAACAAACACAAAATGACTTACGATCGAAGACCTCGCGACCAACAAAATACCGTGCGCCTAACGTTGGCTAACGGAGGGTTCAGATGCAAGTCGGCACGGGTTCCTGTTTATAGAATGAGCTAAAATTTTTACTGGGAGTATATAAACACGTAATAAATATAATTAGAGGGTATGCGTAAAAAAAATAAAAATAAGGGACACCCTAATATATATATATATATATATACACATAATATGTTATGACATATTATGTCCAAAAGTTTGGAATATTGCAATATTTCTTTTTTTATTGATATTTATATATATTTTTTTTATATAGGTAAATACCATTTTATAACGACTCCGACCAATAATAAATAAACCTCAAAGACAGAGAAAATAGAGTAAATATTAACAACAGTTTTTTTAAACTACCATAGGCGTAGATATATTATTTGTAAGTATTCCTAACTTTTGGACATGTGTGTATATATATATATATATATATATATATATTGTAGAGTAGTACAAGTACAATTAAAGCTTAATTTTCATGTATCCGTTTGTCCGTCAGTCCGTTCATCCGGGAGCGCTCTTATTGGTCCAATTATAATTCGAAAATCATGACATTTTATCGGTCCGTTAAGTTTCAACTTCGTACGTCTGACAGAGAAAGGTTAAATAATTTTAACTCATCCGTCACTACACATCTGTTTTTGACGCCTAACGTTATTTTAAGATAATTTATTTTCAAATATTTTTATATTTTTTCAATAAGATTGTAAATCGGAAATATTACGTTCGTTATGTGAATAATGTTTTACTGTAAAGATTTTATTTAATAAGAATAACGGAAAAAAAGAAACGACAAACAAAAAAAAATTAAAACTAGAACTAAAAGGACCTGCTTTTTTAAAACTATACATTTTAATGTATATTAGGGCTAGTATATTCTTTTTATAAGGTATATTTACCTACCTTTAAATTTATTAGACAGCTAACTGGTAAAGTTACAATTGTTGACATAATTGTAACTATGACAATTAAGCATTAGGTAAATTTAGTAAGTGAATATACTGACACTTAATTTCTATTTGTCGCAAAATTAATCCGTTAAACGTCATTAAAAAACGTATGCATGAAAATTAGAACATTTCTTATCGGACGATTTTATTGAAAAACTGACATACGGATGACGGACAAACGGCTACATGAAAATTAAGCTTAAGGCCTAATTACCGTCGTATTCTCGATATGGCCCTTAACTTACTAACCTATCATTTTTCTATGTTACTAACAATCTGATTCCTAAAATATAGTGTGCATATGAAAATAACCGCCTTCGGTAGTGTAGTAGTTAGCGCTGCGGACTACAAGCCGAGAGGTCGTGGGTTCGAATCCCAGGGGTATGGCTGTTTATTTGTGTTTGTCATTGTGTACTTCTGTAATTGGGCCTGGTGCCTGTTGAAAGCACATTAAAAATAATAATAAAATGAAAATAAAAAAAATAAAATATAATTTATTTCATTATTTAACTTTGTTAAACAAAAAAAGTTACTTTGCTCCTTCAAAATATAAAATTATTTTATAAATTTGATAATTATTTTTTTCCTTTAAATTAAAATTTTGTTTTAGGAATAAACATGAAATCTTAAGTACCAAAATTGTTTAACCTGTGAAATATTGAACAGGAAGTGCAGTTAACCTTAAAAAGTCCTTTGGTTTGGGCACATTAATGCAAATATTAAGAGCATTAATACACTAACCAAAGGACATAGGAATTTCACAGGCACTCAACGTAACCGTATAACTAATTTAGGCCAGCTTAAAACCTAAGATCCATAGTTACAGGGAAAATATTGTAGAAGCGTGATAAAAAAGCTCCAATAAAAGATATGTTCAGCTAAAATGAAAAAAATTAAATAATTTCCTTTACTTCTGACTATGCACAGGAATTCTAATAAATTTAATATTAATAATTTTTTTAACAATGCATTTTTCCTTTTTAAATCAAGGCTGCACAACGTTTAAAAAAAATTCCCTAATAAAATTTAATGCTTGTTTTGGGGGAGACTTTTTTAAAAAGGGCAAAGAATTTATTATAAATGAGATTAAATATTTCAAGACTAAATTGGTTTACTGAGAATTTTGTTGACAAAATTTTGAATAAATTTGTCGAATTTGCAAAGCAAATTTTAAATTTTTAAAGCTCACTTGTGTCATTGTACAAAAAATGGACAATGCCTGTTTTGGATGGTCGGTAGTATCTTTTCTCTAAATAAGAATTTAAATAGCACTTTCTCATATCCTACATGGATTTTAAATTTTGCAAATAAACTGCGCACCACTCAATGTGTCGCGACCAAAAAGTTCGTCCTTTTTCAAAACGCTATAACTTTTTTGTTTCTTATACGATTTTATTTTGGTCTGTGATGTCTGCTAACCCCATCCTCTGGCAATTCATGCTATAGATATCAAGCCCACGGTTCTTCAAGTAAATTTCCTATAGTCATATGTAAAACGGTGAAAAATTTCAATAACTTTATCCAAGCCCCGTTTAAAAAATAAATCTTTTTTCTCGTTTTTTACTTTGAAATAATGAAGTATTATGTCTTACCTTGAAAAGTTTTTCAAATTTTTCAAAATTGGAATCTTAGCAAGGAAAATATCATTTTTTTTCCGGCTTTTCGGTAGGCAATACACTCAGTCTTTTTAAGAACAAGAAAATAAGATGGTGAAATATTGTTTCTTGAATAATTCTGAACAAGCGCAAGCAACAAACTTCCATTATTTTCAGAGGGGCCTAAGCAAAGACCACTTTTTTAAAATGACATTTTGGTGAAAATTTGCGAAAACTAAATCTGAACCGATATTTACGTTCGTGACATGTTTTCTTTATAATTTTGACCTTCTGATTGTGATTCAGTTGTCAAATTTAAGTTTCAGTTATAACCAAAATCACCAAGATTCAAAATTCGAAAACAATCCCGGCTGTTCAATGTCTTAATAAAATCCGATTGCCGGCGTGTTTCTTGCATATTTATGATTAAAATGCCATTTGGAGATTCATTTTTTGGGCGAAATTACTGCAATTTGTTTAAGTGGTTAGGATAATGTTAAATAATTAAAAATTATTTTTTTACAAACGGGGCTTCGATGAAGTTATTGACATTTTTCACCGTTTTACATATCACCCTGTAGGAAATTTACTTGTTGAACCGTGGGCATCATATATATAGCATGAATTGCCAGAGGATATCCTCATATGGGGCTAGCATGCATCACAGACCAAAATAAAATCATCCAAGAAACAAAAAAGTTATGTCGTATTTAAAAAGTACGAACTTTTTGGTCGCGACACATTGAGTGGTACGCAGTTTATTAAGCTTTCCATAAAACTAACTGACATTGATAAATTTGAAAAACAAAACAATATATCCATACATGTTTACCGGCTGGAGCCAATTGAATCGGGGAAAGGCTCCAAGGATAATACTGTACCTGTAAGGCTAAGAATTTACTCTTAATCCAAAATATTTATTTCCCTAATCAGTTCGATTGCAAACCATTCTTGCATGTGACTGATAGCGAAAAAAAGGATGGATAAAAAATTACTGAAAAGTCAGTAGGTACACAAAAAACTGTCAAACATTTTTTATTGGCGATTAATGTCTAAATCATTTTTCGACTAAATATAAGTTAACTGAACATAAAGAATATGGACAAAAATTAAACAAGTGTAAATTTTCCTTTTTGACAGTGATGTAATGTATCGAGATACATGTATCTAGATACTGGATCTAGATACATTTTATGTACCTAGATACGTATCGAGATACTTAAAAAAATCAGTATCTACTTTAGTATCTAGATCCTTTTGAAAGTATCTAGATCCTTAGATACAAGATACATTTTATTTTACCCAACCTGATTGCAACTCCACACCGTGTGGGCCACACGGAAAATAGACATCCAATGGATATACTCTATGGATATCCAGGATATATACCTACATTGGATATTCTTGATATCTCCCGTAAGAGATGAACAATACAAATAATAAAAAGATATTTTATTTCTTTTTCCCTTCAACCCACTTTGGAGTGCGAAGTGCATAAAGTAACTCTTAGGCACTAGTGAGTAAAGTTAAACAAAAGCGCTGTAGGTTACCTATAGTTGGCTTTGAAGGCATTTTTCTTCGTTCTGATAATTTTGAATTTGTACTACAAATTTTGTAAGCTTTCATATGGCGCGTAAATATAAAATTTATTTCCGTTTTTCATGGATATTTCGTCAATTTTATCAAAACAGTTTTATTTTATAGTTAACAAGCTTGTTTATAAGGTCCAAAAAAATTTTTTTTGTCATTTACTTTTTAAGTTTTTTTTAACATAGTATCTGGAAGTAACTTAGATACTTTTTGAATGTATCTGTATCTGTACCCAGATACTTTTGGGAAAATGTATCGGTATCTGTACCCAGATACATCTACCAGAGAGTATCTGTATCGGTACCTAGATACTGAAAAAAATGTATCGGTTACATCACTGCTTTTTGAAAGGATATTTCGTGGACTTTTTAAATAAAAATCTTCAGGAAAGAGTGCCCTTTGCTACTGACTTTAAAGCCAAACTTTTGCCAATAATTGATAATGAAACACACGATCTAGGCGGCCAATTTACTGCAGAATTACTCAAAATTACTCGATCTGGATCTGGTATACGTTGTAAATAGACTAGACTAATAGTTAAACTTGTAAAATATTAAGCTTTATAAACTTTAATTAGAGTTTTTACTTGTACTTTAAGGGTAAAAGTTTTCCGTTCGAGTTCGATGTTAGAGTTCCATTTTTGGTGCGAGGTCCCGGAGTGGAACCAGGCACCGTTGTGGACGACATAGTGCTTAACATAGATTTGGCTCCAACGTTCTTGGATATGGCCGGAGTGGAGGCACCTCCACACATGGATGGTAGATCGGTTTTACCATTGTTCTTAAATTATAAAAGAAAGAAGACCGTTCGAAAGTGGTCTGATACTTTCCTAATTGAAAGGTTGTATATTTTACAATGTTAACATAAAATAATTGTTATTTTTTCTTAGCTCTGGTCGACGTGAAACACCGCACCTAGACGCAAAACTACGTGCCATAAAATATTCTTCTGCGTTAAACTCAAAAAATGTCACCACAGAACCACCTATTGCCACCAACATAAATCTAACTGCTGATGTTACAACTGGTAGCAGTAGTAGTAACTCTAAGTTACCACTTACAACCGAAAAAATAACGGTAGATCCTTTACCAAGACTTTACGAATCAGGTGAGGAACTAACAATACCAAACAGAGAAATTTCGGAAGATGACGATGATGAAGAGGACAATGACGATATCATTGATGATGACATTATTGACGAAGAGGAAGATACTAATAAAGACCTAATCACGGGTGAGGGAACTTAACATAATAGGTGTATTAGGGCCGGTTTATCAATTTCCAGTTAAAGTTGCAGTAAGTTATCTGGCAGATAATTTTCATGGAATGCCATTGTTCTCACAACAATCGATAAATAATTTAACTGCCAGATAGACTAACTGGAACTTAATCAAAGATAGATAAACCAGCCCTCAAGTTTAGGTAATTTGCAAATTTAATCTGTACCGGCCGGATTTATCCGGATTTAAAATTCAAAGGCCAGGGGCTAATTTATATATGTTATATAACATTTATCTGAGAAAAAGAAATCAGTGAATCGCACAATGGATTAAAAACGTTTACTCTTATAATTTTGTTTATAGTTTATTCGTTTATTTACTGGAAAACAGTTGAAATTTTTTATTAGTGTTATTTTTGATCGCTGATATCTTTGAAACGGTTGATCTGAATAAAGAACTTTGACCTTCAGATGTTTTTTGTAGAGCGTAAAATTTCCTATAAATCCTCTCGCTTTGGTGTTGCGAAAACAAACCATTCCAAAGTTATAAGAACACAAAATTAAAAAAAAATTCCCGTGTTATTGAAATGGAAAAACAACAAATGAATTGAGGCAAACCTTAAGTACATGTATTTAAAATGTATAATATTTTTACTTTATTTTAGAAAGTGATATACAGTTGGACAATGGGTTGTTGCCTGAAGTGATAACGAGGAAAATCGAACGGCTAAATATGGAGTGCGCAGAAGAAAGTGCACAACTTCCGTGTAAACGTGGCCAAAAATGGTATTGCGTTAACGAGGACGGAAGATGGCGTAAACACAAATGTAAATCTCACATTTATTATTCGCGTTCCAATTATAGGACGTGTGCTTGTTTTACTCAAAAAGGACTTGTCTACAAAAAAATACAGGCAAGTGTTTTTAAAAATATTCATTTATTTAGCAATACAATTCCTATACTTCTTATACTGCTTAAATGACAGTTACAGACTTAGGTACCTACCTACAGTTGAAAATTTTGAAATTTTAACTTGTAAACTTTTTAGAACTGGCGTTGTTATACTGTTTTGTCTTATGTGTGGTTTTATGTAAGATAAATTTGTTAATAAAATTTTAACAAAAATCAAGACTTAATTATAATGTTAAACATAAATTTAATGTAATATTAGTATTTGATATTTACCCGGTACCCGTCAATAATAGAAGAGATCTGAGACGTGTAGGTACGTCCATCATTTATTTAACAAAACAATTTTTTTTCCAAAACGGATTAAATCATGGAAGGTCAAACTGCTGTCTTTGGTGGTCACCTCGCTGTCACTGTCTTTATTTTATATTTATAATAGTATATTAAAGACCTAATGTCATAAGACATCATTTTTTCGCACAAGGGCAATTTATAAAACGAGCGACGGGCCAGTTTTATAATAGTCAAATTCTAGAAAATGTCTTAATACATCAGTTCTTTATACGCTAAAGAAGTATCGCTAGTAGCGCCACCACTCGGCTGTTATCATCTTAACAAAAGTACAACTTTTGATAATCAGCTGTCAAACGCGTGTTTTACATACGAGTTTTTTTGAGAATAAAGCCGTAAATTGTTAAAAAAATATATCAAAAAAAAAACCGTGGCACGATTTGTTGTGTTGTTGAGTGTATTCTGGGTTGAGTTTTTATCGGTTTTCCAATAAACAGTGTTAATCCTAATGAAGAAATAAATTTCACACAGTCCCTGTAAATATAAATTGTATCTATTAGATACAATAAATACACATTTTAGTAATGATTAACGTGAAAAGTGTAAACTTTCAATTCAGTAAAAATCGTCAAACAAATAAGTCAACTAAATTTAAACAGCATTTAGCATTATTAAAAGCGTTGATTAAGAATTCTTTAAAGTCTCCACTCAACGGTAATGTACCATTATATTATGTATAATATTATATTGCCATGAATTCGTAGGTATATTTTGTTGTTTAAAATGCAGTTTTCGGCGTTTTTTAGAGAACTCAAATATAAAAATGATTGATTTTAAGGTTATGTTTGTGCAAAAATAATTTTTTACTAATTTCTTAAAATGTCCAAACTTAAATATAAATTATATTAGGTAAAGTATATAAATATACTTACCGAATTGGATCCTTTGGCAAAACATGAAAATGCAACGATTTAGTTCTTGAATTTTATTTACAATTAAAAACACGATAATTCACCATGAGATAAAATACACATAATAAAGTAACTATATAAGCATTTAAGCGTTGAGTTTCTTAATTAATGATACTTTTTTCCTTAATTTGTATTAAATTTATGTTTTCTTTTTGTAATTAACCTATACCTATTCTATATTTTTCCTACAATAATAATTATTTGAATAAAAAATAAATGTTTTATTTCCAGGCAAACTTAACAAAAAGAGAAACAAAATTCAATCGTCTAAAAAGAGACGCAGACTTAAACCATATCCTATTTGAAAAGTTAAACAAAGAAAAAATAATGACATTAACAAGAAGGCAAAAACGTGATACCCTGACGCACGTTGAAAATGCCATGGAAGATGTCAGAGGGAAAATATACGGCTTAAGGGTATGTACCAAATTAATAATCTTTATATTTTATTTTTTATGTATTTTTAGTCGGTAAACGCTACTTTTGAGAAAGACCCCGTAAACCTGGAAACAAACTCGATTGGCGTGAATACACCAAAATGTGTCATACGCAAAAACGTGGTAAATTGCTCAAACGTAATTTATCACAACAAGAAAACGTGGAGACAATCTAGACTGCACATAGACACCGAAATACAACAACTCAAGCAAAAACTCGAAACGTTAAAATACATCAGGAAGCACCTGAAGAGAACAAAACCAAGCGACGTTGATGAAGATGAAGACGACGACGACGATTCCGAAGAAATGGATTCCATTCAAAATGGAACGAGTCGTTCGGAATTGCCCGCATTTAACGAATTGAACCCATCAAGAATAGACCTTTTTTCCACGCATATAAACAATTTAAATGTAACGAAGATAAATAAAAGAAAACGAAAACGGCCGTTAGTCTTTGACGAGCTGAATTCGAGGCCGGCTAAAAGAAGGAAATACCACAACTTGAATAATCCAGTCGAATCTGAAAATACAAGAACCTCGTTTAGTTCTTCTACAGTTGAATTTACCACGCGCACTCCTTATACAGATCATACAAATCCGCATCGACATCAACATAAACTCCACCATGTAACGCAGTCGCCATACATAACGAGTGCGATGCTTCCGAAAAATACCAATGCCAAGAAAAAAATCAATAATTGGACGACAAAGGTTAGTAATTTTTTAGCAATTATTTACAATACAAATCATTCTGATGCAAAAAAAATCATACCTATTCTAGACTTGTTAGTTTAAAATTTTAAAATATTTAAATCCGATACATTTAACATTTGGGAATATTTTAAACCATATCAAATATGATTTATATTTTATCTTATAGTTAACATGTTTTAGTATATGGGTAATTTTCAAGAAACACCCGCTTTCAGAAAAATGAAGATCAAAATTTTTTTTTGCTTAAATTGACTTTTGGTTGGATTTTTATAAATCTTTAGAGTTTTGTTTAGGTTTTTTTAAGAAAGCTTTATATATCTCCACTGTGTTACCAATTTGAAATACAAAATTTAATTCAATAAAAAAAGTTGTTATAGAAATAATTTGAAATAAAATGTACTTTTGACTCCAATTTTTTATTTTTTATTAAAAATTGTATGCTTTTTTTAAATATGTATGTTAAGTTACTTTTTAAAAGAAACCATTCCGATTCTTTGTTAAAAAAACAATACCATTAATATTTTCTTTTAGTCACTGTATTAGTGAGTTAAACTCTAATTTATAAACACCTATTACCAAGTGATAGTGTATAAAAATCAGTTTAGGTATTTTTTTAACAAAAAAAAGTAACGAAATAGACATTGGTATCACAAAGCACTTAATCAGATAACGTAAAAAAGAAACTATAAAAGGTGGTACGATTTTAGAGTAATGCATAAACAAAATCCCTTGTAGTGGTGCTCACTTGCAGAATAACAACTTAGATTTCTAAATTGTAGACACCCTTTTTCTTTGACTATAAGCTGGTGTCTTTTAGTACTTGCATATTTCAACCGATATCTTCTTCCTGATTGAATAAATAAATTTAGCTGGGTAATGTGTACGTCCGAACATCATTTCTTGATCACGTGAGTGCAAAAAAGTTGCCATATATATGCTTTTTTTAATATTCTATCGGTAACACGTCGGACGTAACGCGACGGAAAAAATGTCTGGGACATGAGTCAAATTTAAAAAAAGTAAATTAAAATTAATTATTTTATATATTTATATAAATTGTTTACTGTATTAACTAAGGATGTTATGGATTGCTATAAAGCAACACAAAGTTCTGGTTATTCAATATTTGAAAAAAAAACATGTATGTAAGTTTTATAAAATGGGACATGCGAAAATGTGTGTTTCACAAGTTTCAAAATTAAAAAAAAATTATTCTGAAATAATTATTTATTTTATTATTAATAAACAAACATTTTATGTAAGAGTTTACTAAGGGCTTGTTAGGTTTTCACTTGGTTTTTAAATCAATAAGATCCGATAATTTTTAACAAAGTTATTGGAATTCAAACTTACGGACAGCGGAAGGCGGGTGTTTTTTGAAAACGACCCAAATACAAGCAATAGTTATATTGTTTAAATTTTCAGGCTCCCGAAGATAATGATGACGATCTTATACCTCTACCAAACAAAAATGACCACCACCCTGACAACTGTTATTGTGATCACACAACAAACGAACCAGATTTGCAAAAAGAGGAAAAACGTCGTCTTAAAGAAGAACGACTAAAAAAGAAGTTGCGTAAAATGCGCAACAAGAACCAAATGGAGAAAGATTGTGGTTCGGAACGCATGAACTGCTTCCACCACGATAACGATCATTGGAAAACTGCGCCCTTGTGGACATCGGGACCGTTTTGCTTCTGCATGAACGCAAACAACAATACTTATTCTTGCGTGCGAACTATTAACGCAACGCATAATTTTTTGTACTGCGAGTTTACAACAGGTTTAAGAACGTTTTACAATCTAAGAAAAGGTAGGATATCTTTAGACGTATGATAACATTTTTGGTAATAACCCTATGATAGTTTTAGAAACTTTTTTTTCTAACATTGAGTACTCCAGCTTAGTTTAACTAATTTTGGGCCGCTGATTTCAAAAATGTCATTAGTTTTTCTCTAGGACGTCTAGTATTTAAAATAATTTCGTAATAAAATGCTCTGCTCAATCACCTCAAAATGTAATTAAATTATTTTGGCTTAAATGTATCTTGAATGTACTGAAGTAATTGGTATACGGCAAATCCATCATAATTATTTTAACAATATGACATTTTAAATACTAAAACTATAATTTTCATGTATTTTTTGTAAAAAAAAAACATAGGTACCTATGTCAAATAATATTATTTTTACTTTTTTGTTTATTTTAATTATTGAATTGAAAGGGTATTTTTTATCAAAATTTAATGTACCTATTGCATAATTTTGCTCTTTTCTACCTTAAATTTATTAAATCCTATCAAATATCGAATTAAATTATATATAATTATATAGTATACTATAATATACAAATATATTATAATATACTATAATATATTATTGCATAATTTCGCTCTTTTCTACCTTAAATTTATTAAATCGTATAAAATATGGGATTAAATTATAGTATACTATAATATATTATTGTGCTTAATCCTCATCGTCGTACATCGATCTTTTGCTGCAAATTCCAGAAAATGTCTCCTAGCAATGAATCCAACTTCTTTCCGCTATACCCATAGATATCTACCAATGCTCTAGATTTGCAGTTACTTGGTGAAATCGTTCTCCATGTTCATCAGTTCGGCAAATTTATCAGGATAAAAAAATGTATTTTAAATGACATATTAACGCTAATTCTTTACAAAACGGAGAGCATTTTTTCAATGAATTGGCGCCAATTTTAGGCACGATATGAACCAAGAACATTTTCAATGACAACTTTAAAACTGCCATATGCGACAAGCCATAGCTCGTCAACTTTGAGAGCATTTTTGAATGCTTGATCTTTCATTAAACGTCCATTTAATATTCCTGCAAAATTAAAGTAGTAGGTATATCTCATAAAATTTTATAATGAAATATTGCTTTGGTTTTTCTTGCGTAAAGGTACCGCAACAAAACAAAACAAATTTACAACGACGACATAAATGTTCGTCTCCTTTCTCTTTCTCTGCCACTTCCATTATCACTTCCATTTCCTGCTCTTTTTTCATTTTTGGTTCTTAAAATCACTTTCAAGTAAAAATACAATTTAAAGTTTAAATTTTAAATGTCAATAATTAATAGATGCACTTTAGTGTGCTTGAATGATAAAGTAGATAAAGGCGCCTTTATACTTCAATTCGATTTTAAATTTTGATAAGACTTATAAATAAAATTGGATATTGAATTTTTGGGTACTTTAGGCATGATGTGAATAAAAAAATATCAAATAATAGTCGAAGAGTAATGTTTATACCAAAACCCATTTACTTTGTTGCCTTTTCAATTTGCAATGACAAGGACAAATTTTTGAGTACATTTTATTAAACGGGAATGTTTGCCACATATTATGATTAATTGTTTTTCAGCGTGAAGAACACATAAAAAATTTCAATTGTTTATAATAAATGTATGCAAAATTCTTGTATTTAAACAAATTTACCTTAATTAAATAAAAATTCTATAGTCTAAACATTTCTACAATAGTGTGTAAAATTTAATTCAATTATACAGAGTGGTCCAAGAGATCCATTTTTTTAAATTTTACCGTGCTCTTAAGTTTGACAAAATTATACTTAAATAACATTAACAAAAAACTGAATTTCAAAACAATTTTTTTACTGTGACATATGGGTCATGCCTACTACACAATTATGTGATTATTTTCAAAATCGGTGATTTCGTGAAATTTTCTGGTCCCACTTGACGTGGCTTGACTCTTATACAGGGTGTCTCACCAGCGATGGTACCTTAGACGTTTACGGAGAACGGATGATGACATCAATTTGACATTTTTATAGCAATTATTGTACAATTTAATCTACCTCTTAAAATTATTTTGAATAAAATTCCTCTTCCGGTTTAACCGGAAGCGACATCAACTTTGTTATTTTCAATGGAATTTTTTTTTATTTTTAAGTTCCTCATGAAATTCTTAATGAAATTGCTGTACCATTACCTATACCTAAACTTAATTGTTTTCGAGTTAATAATTTTTTTCGTAAAATTTTGACAGTTGCACCTTCATTAAAAATTGCTTATAACTTTTTTGATATTCGGTTTGCTGGTATGCTGTAAGGATTTTTGGAATCTTAAAACATTGTTTTAAAGATTCCATGTCTGAAATTTTCATATTTATGATCAAAAACTAAAAAAAACTCGTGGTAAATTTGGTTAACTTCAAACATTAATAACTTGTTTATTTTCAATGGAACTGTATGTATGTTTTTACATAATCAAATGGGAAAATGAATTACATTTCGATTAGTATACCATTCCCTATACCTAAATAGTAAGGTTTCGGAAATACAAGCAAATTTCTGTAAAAATCCGATATTTTGACATATTTATCTCAGATACCGATGAAATGTCACAACGGAATCTCCCAGGCTCCGCATTTTAAAATGTTTGCAAGTCAATGGTCGCCATTTTGAACATTTATTAAAATAGTATTTTGGTTGTTATTTTTTCCATCACGTTTTTTATAATTTATAATAATTAAATTCTTAAAACTTTAATTGTTGTTTTCCATTATTTTTAAAATATCTTCCTTAAGAAATGTATCAACTGTCAATCAATGAAATAACTAATTTGTTGTGCCCACAATCCACACATGTGTGGATTGTGGTTGTGACATTTCATCGGTATCTGAGATAAATATGTCAAAATATTGTATTTTTACAGAAATTTGCTTGTATTTCCGAAACCTTAGTACCCAGTGAACCAAACCGTGACTTATGACCTAAAATTTACGTAACACGTAGATCATATCTAGGTAATTCAATTTTTACGTCATAGTGACATAATACTGACCCAAAACGTGACTTTTATATGATGTAATTAAATGACTTACATATTACGTACATCTTATGTAATATTAAAGTCATATCGTGACGTAATATTAAAGTCACTTTTCTTACGTAAGACTGACATAAGAAATCTGTCACAATATTACATAACTTTTAGGTCACTGTCTTACGTAAGACTGACGTAATAAATCTGTCATAATATTACCTAAGTTTAAGGTCACTTTCTTACGTAAGGCTGACGTAAGAAATACGTCATACTATTACATACGTTTTAGGTCACTTTCTTACGTAAGACTGACGTAAGAAATCTGTCATACCATTACATAAGTTTAAGGTCACTTTGTAAGGTAAGACTGACATAAGAAATCTGTCATACATATTATTTAGACGAACTAGATGCAAAAGTAATTTCAAAGTATGAAATTCACTGTATTTTAATGTTTGAATTAAACTAATTTCAATGAATGGACTTTTATTTTTAATGAGTGAAATAGGCAAACATAATTTTTATTTTTTATTGATTGAAATGGTTAATTCCAAGTAAATTCTATTAATTGAAATTGACGCCGATTATTTTAAACAATAAAATCAGTGGATACTTTTCCTTACCAATCAGTTTAATTCAAACATTAAAATACAGCAAATTTCATATTTTGAAATTACTTTTGCATCTAGCATGATGAAAGAAATAACGCGAAGTTCCTTGAATTTTTTGGCTACTTAGTACTTGGTCGATTAAATGAAAATATGGTTTAAAATCAATAAAAAAATAATGTATCTTAATTTAATATGTAATAAACATCATATAGATTTTTATGATTCCGGTTCCTACTGCTTTATGACGTAAAAAATTTTGAAAATAGCGTCGTACTTTCAAAAGTACACATTTTATTCAATGGTCATGTGAAAAATCATGTAGGTACCTACTCATAATCATGGTTGCAAGTACTTGCAAGTACCTACTTATTTTTTAAATTGTAAAAAATTATCAACAAAAGATTTACGTGTTATTACGTGTTAACGTGTTATTTTTGTATTGTATGTTACTGTTATTATTTTTTGAAAATTTTTGAAAATGGCGCTTTTGGTGAAAGTAGAATTTTTTTGTTCCACCCTGTACAATCGAAAAAATAAGTAGTTACGCTTTAAAAGACCTGAAATGATATTTCACTCACTTCAAATTTTTAATTAATTAATTTAAAATACTAAAATTTTAAATTTTTAAAATAAAAATAATTTTTAAATGTTGAATATTGTCCCTAGCTATAGCTATAGCTACTCATAAAAAGCGATTTTTGTTTGTTCTTACTTCTGACATACCCTGTAAAGAATCTGAAAAATTAGTAGTTGGTTTAAAATCCATTGTGAGTTGGTTTTGATCAGCTTCATAAATTAGATAAAGTATCAGCTTGCAATAAATACCTTTTCGGTAATGATTCCATTTCCCATTGAAAAAAATGTGACCTTTTTACAGTACGACGCCATTTTAGAAATTTTTCAAAATTGGTTTAAGTCAAAAAGTAGTACCCAGAGTACCCTTGTCTCTGGTAGTACCTATATATTTAATGCCTTGTTTAACATACTAAAATTTCAATTTCCAAATACAGAGGTTCAAAAAATAAAACTAAAAAAAAATAATACAACCAAATTTAAAGAATTTAATATTATAATATAATATGGTATAATTATATATAAATATAATACCTATAATAATAGATATGTATTTGCACAATATTGTGGGTATTAGTATATTTTTTAAATTTAAAAAATGATAAATAAAAGAAATGAAATTGAAAAACGAAATTATTTAAGTACACTGAGAATATTTAGTATTAAGAAACCAAGAGATTTTTAATAATATATGTAAACTATTAAAGAATTCTTCATTGATAAACAAATTTTATAATAATATTATAATTTGGTCCGGTTATTGTGTTTCAGACAAATAAGGGTAAAGTTGTCAAATAACATTGATATATTAATTGTTAACAGTTGCAATATGCAGTAATGGTTGCCTATAATAAGTAGGCATCTACTATAATAAAGTTGAAATCTACTTATCATGGGCAACCCCCATTGCATAATACATCTCGCTTATGTGGCACTAATCGTTAAGTATATAAGTTGACACTGGCTGCATTGCAATTAGAGATTTAGGATCCGAACGAACCTCGGCAAATACACGAATTAGGAATTGTGGACCACGATAAAATTTAGATTTTTTGCTGGAAATTTTTCTTGGAGTCAGGATTGTTTTGTCATATCCGTGGTTCTCTGCTAAGCAGAGTCTGCTTAAACAGTGATGAAAAATAAGGAAGGGGGCTTCGTCATTCTGAGGTCATATTTATGTCACATTTATTACGTAAATATTATGTAATGGTATGATGTCAGTGTTACATCAATATGTTTACGTCATATTTATGTCATATTTATTACGTCAGAGTCTGACGTAAGGAAGTGTGAAATAATGACTCTTGTATGACTCAAGTGTGACCTATATCTTACGTAAGCGTGACTTGACATGACGTCATATTTACGTAATTGTGTTTACTGGGTATTTAGGTATAGGGAATGGTTATAACAATCAAAATGTAATTCATTTTCCTATTTGATTATGTAAAAACATGCATACCGTTCCATTGAAAATAAACAAGTTATTAATGTTTGAAGTTAACTAAATTTAACACGATTTTTCTCTGGTTTTTGATCATAAATATGAAAGTTTCAAACATGGAATCTTTAAAACAATGTTTTAAGATTCCAAAAATCCTTACAGCATACCAGCAAACCGAATATCAAAAAAGTTATAAGCTATTTTTAATGAAGGTGCAACTGTCAAAATTTTACGAAAAAAGTTATTAACTCGAAAACTATTAAGTTTAGGTATAGGGAATGGTACAGCAATTTTATCAAGAATTTAATAAGGAATTTAAATATAAAAAAATTTACAGGGTGTTCCATTGGAAATAACAAAGTTGATGTCGCTTCCGGTTAAACCGGAAGAGGAATTTTATTTAAAATAATTTTAAAAGGTAGATTAAATTGTACAATAATTGCTATGAAAATTTCAAATTAATATCCTCAGCCGTTCTCCTTAAACCTCTAAGGTACCATCGCTGGTGGGACACCCTGTATAATTCTACTATAGTATACTACTACTGTAACAATGGAACAAAAAATTTCTATTTGACATTTCAGTACATTAGATGCACAACTCTGTATTTGCAGGATAAGTGATTTTAAGAAAAACACGAAAAACCACTCATAAGATCATTTTTGAAAAAAAAATGCAAAAATTGTTATGCATGATTTCTTATTCACAAAAGTAAAAAAAATCCTTTAAAATTAAGTAGTTTAGTAAATAATTAAAATCAAAAGCTTTAAAAACATAGTTTTGCATCTTACTCGTTCAAAGACCAAGTTTTGCAAGTGAAAAGTGCAAATACCAAAAAATAACAATTAATCAGGTCGTCACGTAATGCGAATACAAACGATGTGATTGGTCTATAGACTGTATACAGCAAATACCGAGTTTTGCATCCGACAGGAAGAAACAAATACCCAGTTTTGCATCTGCGTTAAGTTTTTAAATGTATTTTATTATACAAATATTAACTTATGCATCTGGTTTACTTAGGTATGCTGTGGGCAGTGCAGTTATGTACACAAATATGATAAAATATATATTTTTTAAACATTTGCAAAAACTGAGTTTTGCATCTAATGTTCTCATTTATCGGTATACTTTGTATGGAGTCCCTGTATATTGTTGACAAAAAAACGTCAGAAATATACTGAACATCCAAAATAGATTTAAGAAAAAATAATTTAATAAATAATCAAAATATTAACAAAAAACTTACATTTTGAGATAATTGGGCAGAGCATTTTATTACGCAATTATTTCGAATCCTAGACCCCCTGGAGCAAAACGAGTGGCATTTTTGAAATCAGCAGCCCAAAATTAGGTAATTGTAGGTGGGCGTATAGTACTCAATGTTAGTAATTAGAACTATCATAGTGTAATAAGCAGGAACTAGTATTCCTTAAATAGTTTTAATATTTATTAAGAAAACTTTCTCAGCACTGCGAGAAGATTACATAAAATTGATTTCTCCCCAATGGTTTAAAAACATTTTTCATGCCAGGAATGATTTTTTTAGTTATGATTTGAACGACATATATTATTTCATTATTGTTTCAGATCCGTTTGAACTATTTAATCAAATTGATCAATTGAAGCCAGATGAACTCTCTTTTCTGCATGATCAGTTAAAACAGTTGATTGCCTGCAAGGGTCGTTCCTGTAAACTCAATCAGCATCAGCAGGTTATTAAACCAAGGCTTTCTAACATTCCAATGCCCAATATTCAACAACAGAAGTATAAGAATAAAAAGAGTATTGAAGACCTTAATGGTAAGTTTGTTTTTCGTATGAGATTTTTAAAGTAAGACTTGATTTATATCACTTAGCACTTAACAAATTCTTGACTGTAGAGAAGTCTCTGTAGTTGTTGAGATTATTTGATGGTTATGGCTGTTACTCTATAGTTTGTTTGCACTTTATGAGAAGTTATTAGTTGGATCTATCCACTCATTTATTTATTTATATTTACACCACTATTGTACATTATTTAATGTTGTTTTTGTATCTTTGATATTTTAATATGAATGTCCTGTATTGCGAAAATTATAGAAGTGTATTGGATAACGCCACGTTTAAATACAGTTTTCTAAACCCTCGCCACGGTATAGAGTTGTATTCGTCAGTCAAGCGTTTCAATACTCTACACAGTATAGAGATCGTAATTTTACTTTTGAACTAGTATTCCCAGATAGCAAACGTGAATACGAAATCACGCGTGACTGAATAATGTGTGCTATATGATTTCACATATCATTTCAAATCACTTCAAATATTTATTAAATCAATAATAGTTATAGTTGTAGATAAAATGTAAGTAACACGTAGGATATTATATTATAACGCACTTATGTGATTACACCATTTGGCCTACGGCCTCGACGCGTCGTGCAAATTTTCATGCGTGCGTCAATAATATCTATATCCTACTTGTTAATTAAATAACTATTACATCATATCCTATGTTGTTACAGTAAACAAAAATTAGCCAAAGGAACCCAAGAAAGGAACTGTTTTTAACAAAATCATATGCAGAAATTAGAATATTCAAAATACACAGCAAAGGGAAAAATATAGAAGTGTATTGGATGACGCCAGATTTGAATACAATTTTCTAAACCCTCTCTACGGTATAGAGTTGTATTCGTCACTCGAGCGTTTCAATACTCTCCACAGTATAGAGGTCGGAATTTCATTTGTTCGTAGATGCTACAATATCCTGCACTGGTGTGTACTTTTTGAATCTGATGAATTGATCAACCTAATTTAAATATTGCTGTACTAACATAAAACTACCAGTGGAGATGTGCAGGGTCTACCAACAGACCTCATTACTAAATTATTAAAGTTTAATAGCATATCCATCATTTTTTCAACATAATCTCTGAAATTTTTAATACAAATATAGGTACTATATATAATACATAAATATACTTTACATCATATCCTCTGTGCTTCACATACCTGAGTTGTTACGGTAAATAAAAATCAGACAAAGGAACCATTTTCAACAAAATCATATGCAGAAATGGGAATATTCAAACTACTTGCATCCACCAAAAGATCAAAACTTCTTGCCTTATTGAATTACACCCTCTTTTTTTACTTTCAGAAATATTGACTAGAACAGTATTAGAGAGACTCCAGTTTCTATAACTTGGTAGAGTAAAGAGAAGTCGAAACCGTTGCGATTTTGCATTGCGCTGGTTTTCTATAACTCTCGGACACATTAACGAAAATCATTGCCAGTAAAATTCGAAAAGCTTGAGTTTCTATGTCTCTGAAGAGAATAGGAATCCGAAGTTGCTGCACCATTGGACTGAACCCTTTTTCAATAATTTCTAGAGACATAAATGACTGCACCATTCGACAGGGTCGAGTTTCTACATCTCTGTTGAATATAGAAAATCAAAATAATGTATCTTGTAAGACACCATTGAGTTTGACTTTAACTATAGTCGTGCATAGGTATAGAGGCGAAAAATATAAAAACAAAGCACGATTCAATACAGTTCTAATAAAACTTAAAGATTTAGTATTCAAACGGGGCGTCATTCTATACGCTTCTTTTTATATTGGACAGAAAGTATCTTTAACTTAGTTACTTTGGAAAAGTATCTTTTAACTTGTATCTTAAAAAGTATCTAAGTTACTCGGTAAAGTAACTAAGATACATTCAAGTAACTTAGAGAAAATTGGGGGAATTCCAGAATGATTCAAAGTAATTACCTAACCTACAACTTGTTCATTTTTTATAATTTTTTTGGCTTGTAATTAAATTATAATTACTTTGTCTATTCTTTTTTTCAAATCAGGTTCTTCAATTTTAGGCTCTTTTGTTTTAATTTTATTCTTGATCTGCTTGCTAACTTTATCTTTTTCTTCTGATCTTGCGATTGAAAAACCGAAAAATTCATATTTAAAATAAGTTTATCTCCAAAATTCTGTCCTAACAAATATTTCTTCCTTTAATTTTTTTCTTTTATGTTTGATCTTGTTGGGGGAAGTAAAAATTTGTGACCAGAAAACAGCCTTTTAACACTTACTTACTTGTGTTGCAGGTGTCATAAGTATAGATAATACTAGGCAACACTAATTAATAAATCCCCTCTACAAATACACCTACCTGCTAGTCAAGATACCTACATACACCTACATGCTATTCATTTTAATAAATCATTCTTCGACCTACTCTGGTATTATTTACTTCATGGCGCAGTCGGTAGTATATTTTGTAGTGGGGGTTTATTAATGACAGTGTTGCCTAGTATTATATAATATTTATGTATACATATGACATCTTTCTTTTTCAAAAAAAAATTTTAATTTACATTTACAATAATTATTTATACAACATTTACAATTGGTATTAACCCAGCAGGAACGCTGACAATACTTGTGCTAGAGTGTATAATTTATAGACTTATAACCCGTGCTCAAATATTTTTTTGCAAAAGCTAATTTTATAGAATTTTTTAAGAATCATTTTTTTTTAATTAAAAAAAAAGAAATTAAGAAAAAAACCTAAATTAAACTTAAAAACCGTTTTAAATTTAAAAGGTTCGGGTTCGGTTACGATTCCGGTCCACAAATAAATACTGGTTCCGGTTCGGTTTTCTGTTCAAAAACGGTACGGTCCGTATCTTAGATACTTTTTAAAGTATCTTGTAACTTAAGATACTTTTAACTTAAAGTATCTAGTTACTAGAGGTAACTAAGTTATTTTGTTTAAAGTATCTTAGAAAAGTAACTAGATACTTTTTAGAAGTAACTTTCCCAGCTCTGACAATATTTATAAAATAAAAAATTGTATAAAACTTGGTGATTTTAACCTTTAAATTGGTAAAACCAATTAATAATATAACTTCTATAGTATAGAGCATTAAAATATTAATTTTAATTGTTTTAGGACTTGGCATAGGCGGAAGGCATGGAAATATCCGTTTGGCCAAAATAGACATGAAAGGAAGAGGCAAAAACACTACAATAATTACGAAAACTCAAGAAGTCTTAAGAGGCGTTGGTTTTAGAAAACGGAGAAAAACGTGAAAAAAACAATTTTTACGTGTAACTTGACTGACTTGAAAATATTTTATTTATGAAGCATTTAAAGTATAGCTAGATTTGTAATTACATTACCAAAAATAACTTTTCTAGATTTTATTTAGGTTTTATATTGATAGATATAAATTGTGATCTCTAGATTTTTATTTAAATTAATTTTTAAATTATTTTTTAAACTAGGAGCTTTCTGCTTTTTATGTAATCAGTCGAGCATAAATATAGTTTGGACTAATTGGAGTGTAAATTTAGCTTTTTAACCACATTGTAAAATAGAAAACTTAATTAATTTGCATTCTGTCCAAGCATACCTTAGCTCTAAAAACAATCATAGTGAATTTAGGTACCTGCATAAACTTCCATAAAACATAAATACTTGGCTATTTTTATAGAATTAGAGAAATCCAACATATGTAACAATGTCAGCTTTACAGTACCTATTATAATAATTATTATTAACATTTTAAATATTTATTTAGGTGACCTTACTGACTGTTATATCATGGTACACTTTTAAAATATGTATTGTTAATATTACATAGACATTTTGTATTTAAACTTAACAATGCATATATGGACATAAGTGTTAAGTAAAAGTACCTACTTAATTTACTCCAGTGCTGTGCCTATTTAACTAATTGATTTTAAATAATAGTGATAAAGGCAATAATTCTTCTGATAAAATGCTGTGTTAGCTGTAATTGTATATATATTATTATTATTTATGTATCATTTAAAAATGTAAATTACTAAAGTTGTTAATTTCTCCTTTGTATTGATTTTTCTAGTCTTTTTATTTGCCTTACTAAATAATATTTATAATATTTTGTGTAAAACACATTCAATGAACATGCAATTTAGCTAAATACGCAATAAAAGTTAGTTATATGAACTTGTCTTAGCTTAGGCAATTTTTTTTTGCTTTCAAAATTTAATTACGTTCAAATACAGATATATACCAATACACTTAGTTTTATTTACCCTGCTGCTTTCGTCTGTTTTTTTTTTGCAGATAAAAGCAGATCTTCGCGGATAAAAGCAGATGTTTGCGGATTAAAGCAGACGTTCGAAGATGAAAGCAGATCTTCGCGAATACATACATTTTCGATTCTTATCTAGTAAATTAAAATACTAAAAAAAGGTTTTAATTTTAGCCAGCTTGTTTGGATGTGGGATTACTGCGCCATAGGTTAGAGTTAAAAAGAAAAGAAAAAAACATTTTTTATAATTAAATATTAAGGTATGATAAAAGTTAAAGAAATTTCCTAAAAATGGTTTTTATTATAAAACTGTTCACAAGTATTACTTAAAATATACATTTATTATAATAATCAATCACTTTCAGATTCATCAGAGTCTTTTAGGGCTTTTGCTTTATCCAATTTCCTGGATCTTCTATCTTCAATATCCGAACCTTCTTCGTCAGACGAGTAAATTGCGCCACCTTAAAAAAAATATATATATATACCAAATATACCTCAAGTAAGAAAAAACAATTAATATTTTTATTTTGATGAAATGGAAATATCCCGAAAAAATATTTAAAATTGAATTTTATTTTTATTATTTTAATCATGGAGCCTACTCAAGGAGTCAGAACTTCATGTAAACAAGAATCTTCCCAAGATAAAAGGGCGCTGGTGTTCCGTTTATTCTTAAACAATTGTTTAAAATGTACCGAAACGCTACCAAAAGAGGAGACGTCAGTACGAATCGACAATCAGCGCCGCTGGTGGTGAAAAAATAGTCTTAATTTGTGCAATTTAGAGTGCAGGTTTTGTCAATTTTCCCTATTAAGTTCGGGCTCCTTGTGTAGGCTCCATGATTTTAATATTTATTTATTTATATAATAGTAGTTTATACAGTGTGTCCGTAAAGTCCCGGAACATGTGATTATTTTGAAAACGGTATTTAAAAAAAAAAACGCTGAAACACGTCAACTTTGTTATTTTTCTAGCAATATTTTAGCATATGTAGTTGTTCCAAAATCTGCCGCGTGGCGGCGCCACAATCAAAGTCAGTTTTTTTTAAATTGCAACCCTTTATTTTTGTTGCATTTTTGGATAGCTACCGTTGTTCTGATTACATTGATGTGCCACATCTGGGGGGTTACATAAGAAAATTACAAGCAAAAATTCCCTAGAACAAATGTTATGTAACTACAGGCAACAGGGCCGGATTTACCTATAAGCAAAATATGGGCCTGGCAATTTTGAAGTTGTATGCATTTAAAATTTTTAATATGAAGAATAAAACGCTTTTTTGAAAATAAAAAAAATAACATTATTTTACATTATAAATTTGAATAGCAATAACGGTTTAATAGTAGTTAATAAGCAAAACATCATTAATATGTTGTTTACATTTTTCTGGCGATGTTAATGTTGTAACTTAACACTTTAAAACAAGATATTTTATTTTAAAACTCATTATTGAAAACATTTAACCTAAAAACTAAAATTAAATTTTTCTTAGCATTTTTTTCATTTAATTTATTTGGTATTCAGTACTTTAAAACAATATATTTTATTTGATTAAAATATATATACATATATATACAGGGTGTCAGCGATATCCTTTGGAGGACTGATAGACCAACTCATGAGTAAGCAGAAAATCAAAATATGACCGTTAGTTTTTGAGATATAGTCATTTTTATGAATTTTGTAAAACTTGACACCTTAGATCAGTTTTTCGAGTGCCACAGCTACAAATTCTACTATTAATTTAATTTTGAATTGTAATTAAAAGCAGTCCTATTCAGGGTTACGCAAAATAAAATATAATCTAATTAGCTAAGAATATAGAATGTTGTACTTGTGGCAATCGAAAAATTGATTTCATGTGTCAAGTTTAACAAAATTCATAAAAACGTCAATATCTTAAAAGTTAATGATTTTTTACTAAGGTCATGTTTTGATATTCTGATTAGTCATGAGCTGACCTATTAGTCCTTCAAAGGATAAGGAAACTTTCACTATAATTTTTTTGTCACCCCAGACAATGTTTTCGATATACTTTCCAAAAAAAAAATAGTCGATTTTTGTCTAATATATATATTTCAATGTTTTTTCATGGATAACTTGACAAAATAAATTTTTGTTTTTATTATTGTGCATTTTTTTTCTTAAAATTTTTCAATAAAATTTAGTTTAGGGTCGTTTTGAGGGGTGGTGAATCCAGTGTCGTGCTTAGATTTTGTTTAAAAAAATCGCTAATATGAATCCTTAAAAATTTACTCTTAAAAACTGACATAGTAGGCCTTGTATTTTGTACAAATATGGCGTTTTTTGCTTCTAAAATACAGTTTATCAAGATCTACACTTTAAAAGAAATCCGGTTAAAATCGCACAATAAATAAAGATTTTACAGGGGTGAGTCGCAAACAAATGGGTCACACTGTATATATCCCATTTTTAACCAAAACTGTGCATTTTTACATTAATAATCTCCTGTAACTTGAAACCCAAAACTTTTTTGCCATATCAAATTTTGCGCTATCAAAATTGCTTTAAATATCTCATCGAAAACGGCACTATTTTTATTCACTTTATAAGCAACCCTACTATAAGACATTTGCAATACCTATAACACTGATTTTCTATCATCTATAGGTTTGTAGCAATTTATGGTATTTTTTATTGTTATCAATCCCCCAACAATCTCTCTTGAATGTTATGTTTTTGCATCAAGTATTGATAGGAAAAACTTTTTAAGGTTTTTAAAAAATAATAATACTACCCTTTAAGTTCCTCCAATTTTGTCGGTACAAAATTGACATAATTTGTGATTTCAGCTATAAATAAAGTAATTTTATTTTATTTTAAGAATTATTTTACTACCAGAAATAAAAGTCAAGCATTTGGTAATAAATACATGGTCGCTCTAAATTTGTCCAATACTGTCCCACAAACAAATGACTCACGACGCGGGCTCGGTTCATTTATTTAATTTAAGAGTACTGGAAAAAAAATTTGGGGGTAACTTTTTGGATGGGGCCGCATTGTAGTATAAAAATAAATTTAATTTTACAAATCTTTTAAAACATCAAGATTTTGGGATTTACTGCTGAATGGAATTTTTTTTTAAGTATATCGAAAATATGGTTTGGGGCGACAAAAAAAGTTATTGTGAAAGTTTGAGTCCATAATATTATCATCGCAATTTAAATTTTTTTTCCCTCATCAAGTTTTTGTCTCAGAACTCCCAAATCATTGAGTTTAACAAAATTTAATTAAAAATATTTTTTTAAGAAAATTAAATGCTCTACAAAAAAGGTTAAATAAATTTTTTAAGTCAGATGAACCGTTTCCTTAAAATCATGCCCTAAACATTGGTATAGTTTTACATTTTGATCTTTTAACTTTGGAATTTTGAAATTCCCGTAAAAATCAGTACCCATAAAAAACCGATAAATATTCTTATGTGAAATCAAATGCTTTACAAAAAAGCCTCTTAACATTTTTGGCTAAATTCACTCAATCAAAAGTTATTCAAGGTTAAAAAAGTTGAAGTCAAAACGAAATTCTTGCCAAAATAACTTTTGATTGAGTGAATTTAGCCAAAAATGTTAAGAGGCTTTTTTGTTAAAAGACCAAAATATAAAACTATATCAATGTTTAGGGCATGATTTTAAGGAAACGGTTCATCTGACGAAAAATTTTATTTAACCTTTTTTGTAGAAAAAAAAAATATTTTTAAGTAAATTTTGTTAAACTCAATGATTTGGGAGTTCTGAGACAAAAACTTGATGAGGGAAAAAAATTAAAATTGCGATGATAGACCTCTTAATAATAATATTATGGACTAAACTTTTACAATATTTTTTTTAAAGTCCCCAAACCATATTTTCGATATAGTTTTCAAAAAAAAATAGTTGATTTTTTTGGCCCAGTCTAATATATAATCTATAGATGATAAAAATATTTTGTGTGGACTTTTTTCAAATAAGACAGTTTTTGTTAAAAATGTAATTACAGGAAAACATAAGTTAGATAAATTTATCTCTAGGTTTATCTTTATTCTGACGTGTTCATTATTGTTAATTTTGCAAGTTTTTAAAGTAATAAATCTATTTTCTATTGTCCATCTATTGTTTTTTATTTTTATCCTATGTCCTGTGTCTTATAAATAAATAGAATAAAACATTGGCAATTGTTATTTTAAACTTTCATGTTGATTATAAACGATATTGTTTAAAAAGTTCCTTAATCTTTAGCTTTCAGAGCTTTTACCTACTATTTTTATAAATTTTCGAGAACAGTACCAAATTAGCATTTTTTTAAATAAAAACGAATTAAAAAGTAGCCAAAACAAATAATGGCAGGTTTTTGAAAATTTTATTGTTAACTGCATTTATTTTTTACCATTCTCACAAATTTTCATTAATTTTTTTTAAATAGCTTACAAGAAATTAAATTTTAAATCAAATGCTTTTTTTAATCAAACATTATAAATAAACGAATAAAGTTTTTTTTAAAATTGTATGTGGTAACTTTCTTAGTAGATTATGATTTTATAATTTTTTTTTTATTTTCACGACAACTCCGAAAAGTTCGAATTAATAACATTGAGTACGCCCACCTAAATTACGTATTTTTGGGCTGCTGATTTTAAAAATACAACTTGTTTTGCTCCAGGACGTATATATAGAATTGGAAATAATTGCGTAATAAAATGCTCTGCTCAATTATCTCAAAATGTAAGTTTTTTGTTTATATTTGTATTATTTATTAAATTATTTTGCCTTAAATCTATTTTGGATGTTCAGTATATTTTTGACGTTTTTTGTCAAAAATATAAAGGGACTCCATACAAAGTCATCAGTAGATAAATGTCATATAGAATTAGTAGAATTATACAAGGGATATTTAATAAAGCACTTGTCTGCAGAGAAGTGCTTTATTAAATACAAAAACTAAAATTGTAATATTTTTTTTTTTTGGTAAAAAGTATCATTTTTTTTTATTACTAAATAAATTGAAAAGGCAACAAAGTAAAAGGGTTTCGGTATAAACATTACTCTTTGACTATTATTTGATATTTTTTATTCACATCATGCCTAAAGTACCCAAAAATTTAATCTCCAATCTTATTTATTAAGTCTTTTCAAAATTTAATATCGAACTGAAGTATAAAGGCACCTTTATCTACTTTATCGTTCAAGCACACTAAAGTGCTTTTAAGAACCAAAAATGAAAAAAGAGCAGATATAGAAGTGGTAATGGAAGTGGCAGAGAAAGAGAAAGGAGACGAACATGTATGTCGTCGTTGTAAATTTGTTTTGTTTTTATTGCGGTACCTTTACGCCCAAGAAAAACCTACGCAATATTTCATTACAAAATTTTATGAGATATACCTACTACTTTAATTTTGAAGGAATATTAAATGGACCTAATATACGACGAATAATGAATGATCAAGCATTCAAAAATGCTCTCAAAGTTGACGAGCTTGTCACATATGGCAGTGTTAAAGCTGTCATTGAAAATGTTCTTGGTTCATATCGCGCCAATTCGTTGAAAAAATGCTCTCCGTTTTGTAAAGAATTAGCGTTTATATGTCATTTAAAATACATTTTCTTTTTTTTTCATCCTGATAAATTTGCCGAACTGATGAACATGGAGAACGATTTCACCAAGAAACTGCAAATCTAGAGCATTGGTAGATATCTATGTGTATAGCGGAAAGAAGTTGGATTCATTGCTAGGAGACATTTGCTGGAATTTTCAGCAAAAGATGTACGACGATGATGAGGATTAAGCACAATAATACTATAATCCAATTGGATATTTGATACGATTTAATAAATGTAAGGTAGAAAAAACCAAAATTATGCAATGCATTAAATTTTGAGGGCTTAATTTGGATAAAAAATACCGAAACTTGTTTACTTTGTTGCCCTTTCAATTTAATAATAATAATAATAATAATAATAACAATTTTTCTATCACAAAATATTTTAAGAAGTTTTTAAAATGAATGAAGTTATCACAGTATTTAATTTCAGGTGGTAAATTATTATACAATTGAAATCCTTTAAAAAATATACTTTTGCTATATTTACTGGACGTTGGTTTATCTATATAAATATCTTTGTCTTGCCTTGTTGGATAGTTATGAATATCACAGTTTAATTTTATTTTTTTAGTTAAATATATGGGAGTCATATGGTTTAATATTAAAATAAACGACAAAAAATGTAAAATAATGGTTGTTTTTTTTATATAAAATACATTAAAATTACTCTAGTACATTCAAGATAAATTTAAGCCAAAATAATAATAAATAATTAAATAACTAACAAAAAAACTCCCATTTTGATGTGATTGAGCAGAGCATTTTATTACGAAATTATTTTAAATCCTAGGCGTCCTAGAGAAAAGCAAATTACATTTTTGAAATCAGCAGCCCAAAATTAGTTAAACTAAGCTGGATTACTTAATGCTAGGAAAAAAGTTTATAGTGTAATATAACGCTTTTATAACCAGAAGCATAATTTGTGGGATTTAAATTAAACTTACCTTTAGCAGTTGCCCCTTGTTTGTACTTATTTTTAATTGCATTAAGAGAAATTCCGCCCGCATCTTCATCACTTCCATCCTCCTCTCTGGTGAATCCCCCAGAGCCACCAATATGAACTCTGGGTCCGTCATCTTTCTTCTTACTGCGTGTAGGCTTAGTTGGTCTTGATGTTTGACGCAGTTTCTCTTCCTCTTTCTATCAAGTAAGACATAATTCAATCTTCAATTTTAGCACAAATTAATTAATGCATACCTTAATCTTTGTTGCTTTGTCATGATCAGGATCAAATCCAACCTGTGACAAGATTTTAATGCCGCTGGTTTTTTGGGATCGGTCAGCCAAGGACATTGTCATCTTTCTGTGAGTGAAACTCTCAGTAGAGTGTGGCCTGAAACTGAGTTTGGTACGGAAAACGGCCTGCCCTTGTAGACCAGTACCCTGCCTGATAAATAGATGATTATGATCACCCTATAAAACAAAAACCGAATTAATCTACATTAAAAATAATTTTTATCCGAAATCGGCACTAAAGTAAAAGAAATCGGCAGTAAAGTAGAACTTTACTGCCGATTTAATAGAGAGTATTGTATGCAACCAATTATACATTTTAAGATGTGTCTACTGCTACTCAGTAGCAACTAAATAATATTTCAAAAAAATTTAACAAACAACAAACATATACGTAGACACTTCCTACATTCAAATGACATTTGATTTGATCATCAAATGACATTTGATTTGATCATCAATATACCCTAAAGAAGTATCGGGTTTTTGCAACGGGTGCGCCATCTGGTGGAATTCGATAGCATTGCGTGAATTTAAGAATTGTCAACGATACATTTAAAGCACAGATTATACATCATTTTTTTAAAAATAGGTAGTTTTTTCTCATAAAAGAAAGGAAGGCAGAAGTCTTACTCGACAAATTTTGTTTAATTGCACAGCTAAATCGCGCACGTTATTTGTGTATTACGTTGCAAGGAAAAAATTAAAAGACTTTTTTATTACTCGATTTCTATTGATTATTCCTTATATCATTGATTAAGAAACTCAACGCTTAAATGCTTATATAGTTACGTTAGTGTGTGCATTTTATCTTAGGGATCATGGTGAATTATTGTGTTTTTAATTGTAAATAAAATTCAAGAACTAAATCGTTGCATTTTCATGTTTTGCCAAAGGATCCAATTTGGTAAGTACCTACATTTGTTGGTGCAGAATTAACTAATGATAACTTTACCTAATATAATTTATATTTAAGTTTGGACATTTTTAAGAAATTAGTAAAAAATAATTTTTGCACAAACATAACCTTAAAATCAACCATTTTTATATTTGAGTTCTCTAAAAAAAGCCGACAACTGCATTTTAAACAACAAAATATACCTACGAATTCATGGCAACATAGTATTATATATAATACATAATATAATGGTATTTTACCGTTGAGTGGAGACTTAATCAACGCTTTTAATAATGCTAAATGTTGTTTAAATTTAGACGACTTATTTGTTTGACGATTTTTCCTGAATTGAAATGTTTACACTTTTCACGTTAATCACTACTAAAATGTGTATTTATTGTATCTAATAGGTACAATTTATATTTTCAGAGACTGTATGCAATTTATTTTCTTATTCAGATTAACATTGTTTATTTGAAAACCGGTAAAAACTCAACCCAGGATTTCCTCTCGAAATACACCCAACAACACAACAAATAGTACCACGGTTTTTTCTGATATTTTTTAACATTTTCCGGCCTTATCCTCAAAATCACTCGTTTGTAACATCTGTTACAATGATAACAGCGATACTCCTTTACCGTATTAATTATTAGTATTATTAAATGTGATTTCGGATAAAATTTAATCCACATTCGTGATAAAAATTACGACTTTACTGCCTTGATACATAAATAACTATTATTTTACCTGTAAAGGTTGCTTGTACACATCAAATATTTCGGAACCTAAATGTAGACTAAAGGACCCATCAGACCACTTTACAATCCTGGCATTCGATTCTTTCTTAACATTTCCTTCGTCATCCATGACATCTCGCCATCTTATTGTATTTTCAACTTTTAATTTTAATCTGGCTCTACCTTCCTCATCAAGGGTTTCTTCCTCATCAATTTCATCTTCGTATGTTTCCGGGTCAAAAGGTCTTGTCTCCACTGACAAAAAATTGGGTAATTTGACAAAGTTTATGTCTCTACCTAAATCACAGCTTATTTTTGGAATTTCAACATCGATTCTGGTTTCAGGAATGGGTTCAGGCTCGTTCTCCTTTTCTACGTCATCTTCAATATTATTTTTCTCTTCATTTTCATCATCTCTACTTCTTATTTCGTCTTCATCATCCCTGCTCCTCCTCCTATCTCTATCGGACTCGTCTTTTTCTTCCTCCTTTTCCTCTTCGCTACTAATATCGTCGGCATCGTCTCCGAAAATGTCAGCTGCCGCAACACTTTTTTCGGCAGTTTCCTCTTCCGGTTCGCTGTCTGTGTCAATGATTTTGGATTTTTTCTTGACCACTTGTGCTTCGCGTTCTTCTGAATCCGAATGTTTCCGTTTTTCGTTCGGCGATTCGTCGCCATCGTCGATTTGTAAGTTTGGACTTCCTGATTGACTACGGTCTTGGGACCCTTCCCTGGATCTGAAGTAATTAAAAAGAAACAAAGATAAAAGTGACTTTTGGGGAAAATTTAACAAAAAACAAATACAGTCAATCCAAATGAAAACACCAAAAATGAATTTAAAAGTCCGCTGCATGATTTTTTATTTTAATGAAACAATTTGAGGATGATCTTTAGGTATCATATATGAAAAACCGTTGCCGTTTTAATTTTTAGTTGCTTTATTTTTAATCGGCACCCTTTAGAAACCTGAAATTGTGTCATTTTCTTACTCTCTTATAAGAGGCTAAAACTTTTTTTCTGTGGCAATTATTGAAATGATTGTAATTTTATTTTACTGCCTAGTAAGTATGTTTTCAATATTAATTATTATTATCTAATTAGTTCATCTCATAAAAGAATGGTAAACCACTAAAGATTTGTAATAATTTGCCAATTTTTGTGATTATTGTCTGGCTCCTGTGCCTATTCTGCTATATCTAGAAAGTTGCTTTTTTCAGGTATCAAGTACTTATGCAATAGAAAACGTAACTATTATTTTAAGTTTATAGACTATCATTTTCTTTATTAAACAAATTATTGAAACTTGATAATTTTCAAAATTAGCCAATTTTGCCCTCAGAAATCATTATGCTGAGGAAAAAATAAAAATCTAAAACTTTCAGGAAATGTAGTCCCAACCTTCATCTTTTTAGTCTAGTTAGTCTTGTTTTGTTATTTTTATCCATGTAAAATATATAATAATTTTTTTAATGCAGTTAAGGAGCGATATTGTTAGTTTTATTTATAATTTCAAGTTTAGATGGCTTTGACTTAGTCAATTCATGTTTGGTAGAGAAATGTCAGAACTGTCAAAAATATTTCATAAATATTATTTGTGCGTATATAAATTGTGATTTCAAAAAGTTTGCAAGTGTAATAAATGACGGAGTGTTCGAGATTCATGAATTTAATTGCAATTAAAAATGCAAGAACATATCATAATTTTGTACCTCTTTCTCATAAAAAATATTCAAGTTCTGAGAAGTTTTAAATTGTTAAAAATAGGCAAAAACCAAAAATTATTCTAAATAAACCCCTTTATTATAACATGTTATAGGCAAAAACCTAAAAATATTCTAAATAAATCCCTTTATTATAACATGTTTTATTTTAACCAGTTAGGTACCTAAAAACTAAAATTTAAAGAAGTATTTACAGATTGTGTAAATTTTTTTCCAACACTAACATTTAAAATACATACATATAACTTTTAACTATTCAGTGCCTTACTAAAGGGATCAAAATAATAGAACAAGACTAACTTGGTTTAAATTGTGAAAGAAACCGACAAAAAACTGCTTAACGCATTTTTTATACGTTTAAATTAACTCTTTATTAATCTTACTTATTATACTTTACGATATAAACCATAAGGATCTTGAATATATTTTGTACATTCTTCTTCTTTAAACACCAATTAGCCAATTAAATACTTCATTATAATGTATATAATATACAGGGTGTCCGGGAAAAGGAGTTCAATCCGTTAACCATATATTCCTTGAGTTAAAACAATAAGACTTTCATAATACCATTTTTCAATTTAGAGCTTCATGTTCGATATACAGGGCGACAAAGTTTGAAATTTAAAACTGATTTTTTTTAATAATTCGAGTAATTGATAAGATATTAAGTTTAAATTAGGTACACTACTTCAACATAAATAGTTACATTTTTGGAGACCAACAAAACAAAAAACAATTGTCAAATAATCAAAATAGGGGGAGTCCAGTACTCATTGACTCCCCCTATTTTTTAGTACGAGCGCCAATGACTTCCAAACGGTATTTTTTCAGGTAATAATTTATTGCTAAAAAATTTTTGTCTCTTATAAAATTTTGATAAAATGATTTGTTTTAGAGATAATTTGTAAAGTATGGGTCAGTCCATATTTTTTATTTTATAAATTTGTTGTTTCTTTGTTAAAAAGTGTTTTATTTTTATCATAACATAAATTTGCCCATTTTATTTGGGTTTTTTGCTCAATGGGGCGGGGGGGGGGGCCAATGGGGCGGGGTCGGTTGGGTTGTGTTGTTGAGTTTGGGTTGGTTTGGTTTTATGACGTAACTAACGTGCCCTTAACATGTATACAGGTACAATTTATTATTATTATTATTTTATTATAACATAACAAATCTTAAAATTATGACGTCAATCGGGACTGAACTTAAGTCCCGCCTCGGGACGGGAGCCACAGCGATAATAAAATTAATTTAGCATTTCATATAAAGCAATCACGATGTATTAATTATATTAATTATAATCGCACGGAATATTTAGTGATTATTTATTAAATTTTAATTGAACGAAATAAAGAACAACTAGTTTATTAGTATAATATTATGATGATAGAAGAGTCGCCAATGTCGGAACTCCAAACAAATGTCAGTAGCGCAGCATTTTGACAGAGCAGTGTTTATTTTTAGTTTAGGATATTTATCGGCATTGTAAGTAAGGGTTATACGTTTTTTAGTTTTTATCAATAATTTCTAAAGCTTTTAGCCAAAATTTTAAACCACATGAGTTAAGAGTAAATAAAATAATTCCATTGCTTATCCTATTTATATTACGCCCTTGAAAAAAAAAATTGTATATTTTATTTGGAGTAGAAGCTCTTTTTGTGCTTCGTACAGTTGCCTCTGTACTCACCACAAAAAGAGTCGCTTCTACTCCTTATGACATAATCTACTATTATGAAATATTTTTGACAGTTCTGACATTTCTCTACCAAACATGAATTGACTAAGTCAAACCAATCAAAATTTTAAATTATAAATAAAACTAACAATATCGCTGGGTCAGAATTTCTCAAACGGGCCACCTGAATTAGGTCAAAATTAGTTTTTGATTGTAGATACATTTTTTCGATAGTATTTTACATCACTAACACAAATCCTAAAGGATTTTGTAAAAAAAAAATTTTCAATTGACATATTCATGATATTAAAAGTAAAAGTTTTTAGTAATTAAAAAATAAAAAAAAATCATTATGGCTAAACTAATTATCCGATTCCAACGATTTAACTAGCGTTGGAATCTTGTTTTGACATAGATTCTTTGTTATTTTTTTCAATTGTACAATTTTCATTTAGGTCGATTTTTTTTTGTTTTTTTTATAACAAATTCGGAAATAATTGGCTTCTGCGCCAGCTATCGACTCGAAAAAAAAAACACATATACTCCAATCATTTTTCGAAATTATGCTGCTGAGAAAAAAAATGGCCCGCAGGTTCCAGACCACCGTAAGACGTCGCGTCACAAGCGCGTACAGCGTATACGGTTCGGAGCGTGAGCTGACACCGCGCGCGGCCACAAAAGGACGAATAACTTTTTGTCAACCTGCGGGCCATTTTTTTTCTCAGCAGCATAATTTCGAGAAATGATTGTAGTATATGTGTTTTTTTTCTCGAGTCGATAGCTGGCGCAGAAGGCAATTATTTCCGAATTTGGTATAAAAAAAACAAAAAAAAATCGACCTAAATGAAAATAGGACAATTGAAAAAAATAACAAAGAAGCTATGTCAAAACAAGATTCCAACGCTAGTTATATCGTTGGAATCGGATAATTAGTTCAGCCATAATGAATTTTTTTATTTTTTAATTATTAAAAACTTTGACTTTTAATATCATGAATATGTCAATTGAAAATTTTTTTTTTACAAAATCCTTTAGGATTTGTGTTAGTGATGTAAAATACTATCGAAAAAATGTATCTACAATCAAAAACTACTTTTGACCTAATTCAGGTGGCCCGTTTGAGAAATTCTGACCCCGCTTCTTAACTGCATTACAAAAATTATTATATCTTTTACATGGATAAAAATAACAAAACAAGACTAACTACACTGAAAAGATGAAGGTTGGGACTGCATTTCCTAAAAGTTTCAGATTTTTATTTTTTCCTCAACATAATGATTTCTGAGGGCAAAATTGGCTAATTTTGAAAATTATCAAGTTTCAATAATTTTTGTAATAAAGATGATAGTCTAGAAACTTAAAATAATAGTTACGTTTTCTATTGTATAAGTACTTGATACCTGAAAAAAAATAACTTTCTAGATTTAGTAGAATAGGCACAGGAGCCAGACAAAAATCACAAAAATTGGCAAATTATCATGAATCTTTAGTGGTTTACCATTCTTTTGTGAGATTAACTAATTGGATAATAATAATTTATATCGAAAACACACTTACTGAACAGTAAAAAAAAATTAAAATCATTTCAATATTTGTCACAGAAAAAAAGTTCTGGACCACTATAAGAGAGTAAGAAATTGACACGATCTAAGATTTCTAAAGGGTGCCGATTAAAAGTAAAGAATACAAAAATTAAAACGGCAACGGATTTTCATATTTGATACCTTAAAGATCATCCTCAATTTTTTTTATCAAAATAAAAAATCAAGCAGCGCACCCCATTTGGTGTTTTTATTTGGAATGACTCAATACTATAATACTTAACTACGGTTTCGCGAAAGGATGGAACGGTCGATTTTCAAGGGTTTTTAAATCAATTGAAACTTTTTTACCTTATTTCTACATCTAAATGCAGTACTTTTAAAAAAAAAATCTCGTCCATTGACAACTTTGTTTTTATTTTTTTCTTCACTTTGTTAAAAATTAAGAAATTTCATTTTTTTTAATAACTTTTATATTTCAAAATGTATCGATTTGAAATTTGGACAAAGTAGATCTTACTAATGACAATTCTTCCATGAAAAAATGTTTAGATTGTAAAGTAAAGGGGGCGCTGGTGATAATTTAGTTTAAAATTTAACAATTTTTAAAGGGTAAATAATCGAAGAAGCAACTTTGTTTTATAAATTTGAGTATAACACGTTAAAGTATTGATATTTGACTATTATTTGATATATTAACTTTTTTATGCAAATGATGTTTCTGTGGCCAGGATCAGTTTTGAATTAGCAGTAGCAGTATTCAATGAATACTATTCATAAATGTTTAGTTTATTACATTTTGTCATTTTTATACAAATATTGTTGTATCTTTTAATAATAATTGAGTATAGCATAACACATAAATGACGTTTAATATACAGGGTGTTTCACGTATGTAGTTCGTTAGAAGTTTCTAGGGAATCGCGAAAGACAACGATTTAAAATTTTAATAGCGTAAATTATTCGATTTAGACTTTTTTCCTAAATTATTTTGAACTAAATAATACTTCCTGTTTTACCGTAATTCTACATAAAATTCTGAGTAAAATGGCTATACCATATCCTATACCTAAAGTCAATATTTTTTGAGTTATTAATTTCTCAATCAAATATTTTAATTAATTTTAAACAATTACAGATTTGGTGGTAACCATGGAAACTGTCACATTAACCCACATATAGAATTTCACAGGTTTTTTGATACAAAATATTATTGAAAATATTAGAAATTGTTAAATGTCTCTGAAATTTTAACTTTAGGAAACAGTTATTATAATACCAATCGAAAGATTCTTTCTATTTGATTTTTTCTCAAGCTATTTGTTGAAAAACCTTTAAAAAATTAAATTATTTAAATTCCAAAAATTCCAACCCCATGTCAGCAAACATAATAGTATTAGTATCAGCAAACATAATAGTATTATGATAATACCAAAAAAATTAGAGGCTATTTTTGATTAACGTGCATTTAGCAAAATTTTAACGAAAAAAATTAATATCTTGAAAACTATTGACTTTAGGTATAGTTAAATCAAATTGTATATGCTATTAAAATTTTAAATTCATATCGTTTGTGTTTCTCCAGAAACACCCTGTATGGATTATATTAAAATTTAATATAAAAAATGCAAAATAACTAATTACAAAAAAGCTGAACTGAATAAAAAATAGCCGATTGCAACATAAAAAATAAAGTCTTTATTCTAATTTATTTATTGGGTAAATATTACTTTCCACAGTTTGGAATTAAAATTGAAGTTTGCTTATCAAGTAAAAAATAAATTGAAGCTTGGTTGTGGAGCAAAAAATAAAATTAAAGTAGGTTATAATTTATAACTGGCTGATACTGTCTATAATTATTATTTAGTTTATTCTTTTTAATAAATTAATATTTTGAGTTTATAGTACACTTTTAAATTGAAACGTAATCATTCATTTGCAACTAGTAAGATGTACCATAAATAAATAAATAAACTTATAAACTGAAGTTCAGTTACTGAACTGTCAAATTATATTTCATGCTTCCAATGATAGGTTACCATAGAGAAAAGTCTATGATGCCATAGTAACTATGATCAAAATTCGTCAAAATTAGTAAACTTAAAAAAATTTAAAATTTATAAATAAAAGTAATTTTAGCTCCATCTATGGCGATTTTTTAAAATAAATATGTAAGAATTGTATTTTATATATAATATATTATATGTAATACATAATGTATAATAGGTAATATATAATACATTATAATGATAATTATCTTATAAAACTAGATAAAAGAATATATACTTTGTAAAACATGTTAGTATTATGCCCTTTGAAGGCCCAAATTAAAAAATGGTGTCTCTCATAGAAACATAATTTGCATGTAGAAGTTTATATAACAAATAATTGTTAATTATCAGTACTTTAACGTGATATACTCAAAATTATAAAACGTTGCTTCTTCAACTTTTAAACCCTTAAAAAATGGTAAAATTTAAATTGTCCCCAGCGCCCCCTGTATGTTAAAATCTAAAAACAATTATATGTGGATTTATTGCCACTAATAAGGTCTATATTTTATCTTAATTTCAAATCCATACGTTTTTAAATAAAATGTTATTACAAAATATCAAAATTTATCTATATTTAACACAGTAGAATAACTTAGTCAATGGATGAAATTCTTTTTTTGAAAAAAATGCACCATTTAGATGTAGAAACAAGGTTAAAAATACCTATATATTCAATTCTGGCATCACTTGCAAACAAATGTCCAAAATTTGTTCAATTTTTACGCAAAATCATAGTTAATAATATTAATTAATATTATATTATACTTATCAAATTAGTGTCACATTTTTCATGCATAAAAACATAAGAATATTTCATATGCATCTAATTAAAGTAGAAAAACATTTATTACCTTGATCCTAATTTGGAATCAACACTTTTAGATCTTGATCTGGATCTCTTACCATGAGATCCAGATTTTCTGGATGATGCTGAGCCTGACTGTCTGGATCCAGCACTTCCTGACCTTGATCTATTTGATCCAGACCTTTTGGAATCATGTGACCCAGACCTCCTAGAAGCTTGTGATCCAGATCTTCTAGATACATGTGAACCAGATCTTCTTGAAGCCTGAGATCCAGATCTTTGTGACACTTGTGATCCAGATCTTTTGGACGCATTTGAAGCTGCACTGCCCGATCGGGATCGGTTTGACCTTTCCGAGTTGGATCTGGACCTGGACCTATTTGATATTTCAGATCCTGATCTGGATCTTTTGGATTTGGCTGATCCTGATCTTCTGGATGCTGCCGATCCAGATCTTCTAGAAACTGGACTGCCAGACCTGGATCTTTGCGAATCCTGATCTCCGGATTTGTTTGAGACCACAGATTTAGATCTGGATTTTCTTGAAGCAGGTGATCCAGAACGTTGTGATCCAGATTTGTTGGATGCAGCCGAATGAGATCTCGATCTTGATTGACTATGTGATCTTGCAGAGCCACGATCTGGACTTGTTTCTTGTGATTTTCTATCAAATTCTGGTGAATTTGATGCCGATCTATCTAATCCATGTCCTGGGGTCGGTGCTGGTCCTGTATTTGGACTTGCACTTCTACTTCTGTTAGATTCACTATCGGAACCAGATGCCGAAGACATGTTTAATACTATATATTTATTTAAATTCTTCCATAAAAATAAACACTTCACATAAACCACCGAACATAACCTACAAGAGAAGAAGTACCAACCATAGAAAAAGTATATATATAACCACTGATTATAAACGTTACCAACATAAACATACGAACCAAATCATGTTCGCCACCATAATAATATTTGTAATATGTATAAAGCCTGATTTATAGATTGTCTTTCTTCCTTCCTTCCGTAAAAGATGAACAATACGAAAACCGTAGTGCCGTTTATTGATTCCCGTACGGGATTGTATTCATCTTCTACGGGAGGAAATCTATAAATCAGGCTTAATAATTCTTAACCTCTAATAGTTGTGTTTTGTGTTGTTCACTGAGTTGCCTAAGGCACAGGCAAAATGTAAATGGATTTTTTTTGAGGTTCAAAATTTTTGTAAGGCTAATTATTTGAGAAGGATAAATGTTAATGTGCATGTTAAGTGGTTTTTAAAAATTTTGTCCCTCATCATTCATTAATTCCAATTTGCATATTGACATTAATTCTTCACCTGTCACTGGTAAAACATGGACTTGGATTCTGATGAAGAAAATGTTATTGACGAGGACTTTTATTCCTTTTTAAATTTACCCAAAGAAGTAAGTAGTAGTGTATTACTCTCACAATAATTAGGGTTTGAATTACTGTCACAAAACTTTGATAGCAAGACATAACCTCAAAAATTATTTTTACAATTGTGTAATAGTTGGGAATAAATTTATGATGTAAAGTAAAAGTCAATACCTTTAGGCAACTAAAGAAGAAATAAATAATGCTTACCGACGATTAAGTTTGATGTACCACCCTGATAAACATGTGGAACAAGCAGCCAAAGAAAAAGCTGAAGTTTTATTTAATAAAACCAAACGAGCATATGAAGGTAAAGATATTAATAATAATAATGCTTTATTGAACTAAAACCAAGTTCAAAGGCTATTGACCGTAGTCCTTCAGCCGATAAAGATATTATGTTATTAGTAATTGTATAGCACAATAAAAATGTAATTTTAGTACTATCTGATCCCCATAGACGTGCCATTTATGATTCCTTGGGGATGAAAGGTCTAGAAACTGAAGGATGGGAAATTGTTCAACGAACTAAAACCCCTGCAGAAATAAGAGCAGAGTATGAGCAACTGGCTGAAGAAAGAGCAGAAAGAAAAAAACAACAAAGAACCAATCCCAGTGGAAATATTACTGTCTCCATAAACGCCACTGATTTATTTAATCCTTATGATGATGACTTATTTGATGATGAATATGAGGAGTAAATCAATTAATATTAATTGTTTATAAATATTCTTTCTGTGTTTTTTTAGTGATTTGCTTTCTAAAATACCTAATATTGAAGTTTCTTCAATGCAATTTACTCAGTCTGTCGATTTTCCATTAACACAAAAGGATACATGCACTTTGGCAGGTTCTTTGCAAACTCAAAATGGAACTGGAGGAGGAGGTGTTAATTTAAGCTGGCGGCATATTTTTTCACATAAAAGTTGGGCAGAGGTGGAAATGACAGCAGGTAAAATACACATTTTTTCACTTATGGGTTGGAATTTCTTGGGGTCCAATTTGAATTCAGTGCATATAAAAACATAGTCTGGTTTTTGTTTAAAAACTTTGTAGGCCTTTGTAATCTAGAATTTTAAAAAAGAAATTACAAACAAGTCAAAATATAAGTTTGCAAAAGACTTGCAATCAATTTTCATATCACTGATTTTATTTAGGGCCTAGGGTTGAGAAGGATCTACTAACAAACTTAATACAAGCTATAAAACTACTTGGTAAAATAAATAGGGGTTGATATTTAAAATTTTAGGGGTAGGTGCTCTGGAGGTCAGGAGGTTAAATGTAATACAACAACAAATACCTCAACAGTTTTCCCCCTTGATATGTAAATTGACGTGTTTCGCCAAATGTTCGTCATCAGTTAAAGAAATACTAAGTGCTGTTCGTTTTAAAATTGTCACCCTGTATATATATATATATATATATATATACATTAGGGTGGCCCAAAAAAAATTAATATATTTTTTTTCTCGTCTCTTCTAAAAATATGTTAGTTTATCATGCTGTAACAGCACTGTCAAAATATCAGCTCGATTAAACATTTTTTAGGGGTCGCTCAAGATTTTTAAAAATTTTCAAAATCGTCAAAAATTGAATTTTTGTTTTATTTTAATTTTTTTTCTCGTCTCGATATTATTTTTTTTGTTGGAAATAATAAAAATTCTGTAAATTTCAAATCAAAATATTGAATATTGAAGGGCCCTAAAAGTTCGTTGATATTTATATTCAGAGGTCGCTCGAAAACATTCAAAAAACTACTTTGAAAATTAAAAAAATCTTGAGCGACCTTTAGAAATCAAAATATCGATTTGAAATTTTCAGAATCATTATTATTTTTAATTTAAAAAATAATATCGGAACGAAAAAAAAATTTAAAATAAAAAAAATCAAATTTTTGACGATTTTGGAAATTTTTAAAAATCTTGAGCGACCCCTAAACATTTTTTTAATGGAGCTGATCTTTTGACAGGGCTCTTAAAACATGACAAACCAACATATTTTCACAAGAGACGAGAAAAAAAATATTCTTTTTTTTTGGGCCACCTTAATATACATGTTAGGGTGAATCACTCTGGGGATAATTCGTTTTAAAGAAACATTTATTTTAGTCATTCCTCAAGCATAATATTAATGTACATATCAAAAATCAAATGCCCCTCAAGTTTCAGCCCTTAACTTTACTCCTAAGTACCTACTTTTATTTTGATTCTAAAGTTTTCCCATGGGATTCCCAATAGATTAAAATACCATGGAAAATTGAGGATAATTTTTTTAAATTTTCTAAGGTATTTTACGCTACTACAACTTACATAGGTGCGATTTGTACATAATTAGATGCTCAAAAATACTACAATTTTTATACAACCTGTATACATCACCAGTCATATTTTTAATAAAAAAACAGTATTTTTGCCTTTTACGGCAAAACAGTTAAAGTTACAGGTAAAAAGTAAAATAGGTTTTTATAGAAAAATAATTTTTCTAGGCATTAATTTAATAAAATTGGAAAATTTCGGTAAAACTAATTACTTACTATATAGTTAACCGTACAATTTATTTAATGTATAAAACTGTTTTTATAGAAAATTAAATTTTCTATAAAAGTATTTTTTAATTTTACCTGAAACTTTAACCTTTGTGCTGTAAAACAACATAGGACTAATTAGTTTATCAATATTTGACAGTAAAATTCATTAAATGCTTTATATCTTTTAAACTATGCATTTTATTGCTTTAACCCCTATGACATTTTTTTTAAGAAATTGAAATTTTCATAAAAGTTTTGTTTACTTTTACCTGTAACTCTTTTGCCATAAAACAACATAGGGCTAATTAATTTATCAATATTTAGACTATGTATTTTTAAAATACTATTTTATTGCACTAATGCACAAGACCTTTAGTTCAAGAATTAAATTTTAAAGTTTGTTTTGTTTTGTTTTGTTGTACAACATAGGACTAATTAATTAGTTTATCAATATTTATCACTAAAATTTATTAAATGCTCTATATGTTTTAAGCTGTGCATTTTATTGCATTATTGCAAAGGACACCTACTTATTATTTTTAAATTCCGTTAAAAATAATAATTTTACTTGGCACTTTAATCCGCCGATGTCAAACAACTTGCTGCATTGGGATTTGACAACGCAAAGTTATTAAATAAATTTATTGAATTTAAAACATACTTAAATCTGGGAGCATTTTTTGTTAAATAAAAAAGAAGTAAACTATAGGAAGAATTTTGGAAATTAGTAGGTACCCGATAACTTTAAAACGCTGAAATGAAATATTGGGCGCGACCCAAGAAAAGGGACCTAGCGTCCAAAAAATGATTCTTGGGGGTATCATTATTTTAAGAAACCGATATTTTGAAAGGTCCAGATGAAATTGACATGACTATTAATTTTTGAAGTTGAGCGTCACTACACAAAGCCTTTGTGACAAAGGCCTATGCTGCACGAACTTTAATCGCTTCTCCTGTAAAATTTGATTTTTGAATGATAGGTACTCTCTTAAAATATGAATTAGTCAAAAATGACTAATTGTTATAGTAAAAAAGCATCCACAACTAATTCTAGTCAACAGCAAGTTGTATACCGGACATTTTCAGTCAATTCCTATTTAAAATTGTCCGCTGAATTAAAAAATTTCGTCAAAAAATTAAATGTAGAACAGTTTTTGAGATATAGTCGATTTTCTATATAAAAGAGCTTTGACTTTATCTCAAAAACTGCCCTACTTTCATAACTTTTCGGAATCAACAGATAATTTGACAGACGAATTAACTGTGGACTACAGTGACTGGTGGCTGATTTTTTACTATAAAATTCAACTTTACCATGGAAGGAAGAAAAAATATGTACCACTCATTTCTAAATCACAATTTTTCTGCAAATTATAAAATATTAAAAAAAAAATTCAAAACTACTACTACTGTTTTATGATGAAGTACACGAAGAAACATTTTTTAAATTCGCGATTTTAGACAACTGTGCATCGGTTTGAAGGTCCTTGTTCTTGGTTGAGGCATTGTTGTTAATATATTATAATGTACCAAGTTAACAAATTTATTTTTGCTTAAAATACATGTGTAATACATTAGTCGTTATTTCGCATAAATACCATGAAATACTATGGTTAATAAATATAACCTCAGACAGTTAATGTATTTTAACTTAAAGTGGAAATTCCAAAATCTTAACTATGACGTCATTATAACTAAACCATAAAACTATCTCGCCAAGCTAGTTATACAACATGGATAATAGTATTTTTATTTAAAACACTTACAGTGGAGTTAAAAATCATAGTTAATGGAATTAACTGTGACGTTATAACTTATTTAACTTTATTAGGTATTTCATAGTATTTACGCGAAAAAACTACTACACTCACGTGCAAAATAATCGATCCACACAAATTTTCGATGAATTTCAATCGCAAATAACTTTTTTATTTGATGTGGATTTAAACGAATATTAAAGAATATTATAGATAAATTAATGGACAATCGCTCACATTTTAAAAAAATACTAAAAAATTGACGTACGTTTATAATATACAGGTTTAAACAAAAAGATGTTTTTTACCACTCTGTAGAGTGGCAAAACCGTATATTGTTCTAAATTAAGTTTTATTTATCAAGTCACATCTATTCTTAACAGTTTTGTTTTTGGTTCACCTCGATATATTTATTTTTGTGGAAAATATGGATTTTTTTAAAAAACATTGCAATTTCCAATATTTTTCTGTATGAAGAACTAAGGTTGCTATGGTCCATCCATAGGCTATGGAGAATGACAGTGACAGTTTTGTTGAATCATCCCATACTTGGACATGTCATACACGGCTTTCAAAAGCTATCAAATTGTTTTTTGCAAATTAATGTTTAAATTTTGAGGTGTCTTCTTACTTTATAAAATGGATATGTCTCCGACTGATGTTGCCAGAGCTATTAATTTAATCCAGGATGGACGGTCACAGTATTACGTGGCAAGTGTTTTAAACGTCGTAAGAAGTAAAGTACAAAGGGCAACATCAGTCGGAGACATTTTTAAAAGTAAGAAGACACCTCAAAATTAACACATTAATTTACAAAAAACAATTTGATAGCTTTTGAAAGCTGTATATGACATGTCCAAGTATGGGATGATTCAACAAAACTGTCACTGTCATTCTCCATAGGCTATGGATGGACCATAGCAACCTTAGTTCTTCATACAGGAAAAATATTGGAAATTGCAATGTTTTTTTAAAAAATCCATATTTTCCACAAAAATAAATATATCGAGGTGAACCAAAAACAAAACTGTTAAGAATAGATGTGACTTGATAAATAAAACTTAATTTACAACAATATACGGTTTTGCCACTCTACAGAGTGTCTTAAACTTATGGAAAAAACATATTTTTGTTTAAACCTGTATAGGTATTATAAATGTACGTCTATTTTTTAATATTTTTTTAAAATGTGAGCGATTGTCCATTAATTTATCTATAATATTCTTTAATATTCGTTTAAATCCGACAAAAAAGTTATTTGCGATTGAAATTCATCGAAAATTTGTGTGGATCGATTATTTTGCACGTAAGTGTATTATTAGTAAGTATTAGTGATTTTTTTTAGGTGGAGGTCCAGGTTTATCCTTGAAAGGTTTTAGAACAATTTCTAAAAGATTTTTTTGGAATGGAGGAACAATATTACAATTTACTCCTGATGGAATTAGGCCTGGAATAATGTCGAGTAATAATGTCCATTTATAATATGTATTTTTGTTTTATTTTAATTATTCTTTTACTCTAGCTTTAGCAATGCAAATTGATAAACATTCTGTTGGATACATAACCTATCATGGTGGAATTCGTTCATTATTTTCCACATCAGTAGTTAGAGACACAGGTTAAAAAATTAAAGATAAATAATAAAAAAATGCTAAACTATCTTTTTAGAAAACAATAGATACAATTTTGGAATACAAGTTGGGGTTCCTCACTCGCATATTTCTCTACATTATACTAGAAAAATGAATCAGCAAGAACTAAAATTAAAAATGGCTATAAAGTAAGTAACAAATTCCATTTTTTATGTCACAACATAGCACAATGTTTAAACAGTAGCGCAACCGCAAAAGTTAACTTTTTTCCTGCCTGTAGCGCAAAAAATCCATAGAATACCGAGACTGGTATGAAAATATAAATAAAAATTGATCTGAACCTAACCATATTTTTTGACAGTTATAAACTTTTTACTTGTTAAAAACCCTTAACAGCGTATTTCATAGTTCATAAAATTATTTAAAAATATTAAATTTCGCACATATAGTACTTTTCCTCGATTTTCAAAAGATTTAAATACTTTAATGAATATTGAATATAACGTAGAAACCATGCAAGTAACATATGTTGGATTGATTTGCAATTCTTGACAAATCTGTTTTTACATCGTCACGTATCGATCTTCAAGGTCACAAAGCGTTTTGAATCTGACGGTTGAGTACTCAAAAATTGTGGTAAACAAAGGAAAAAAATATTAACAAACTCGTATGCATAGATTCCAAATATGCAATACAAAAATTGCAAACCCATTTTTGTGCAAATTCTTCAAAAATATTTACACAAGATCGGGTACATTCGCGCGAAATTGTGAGTATTTCTGAGCGATCGGTGGTTGCATTACCTACCATCGAAAACTATCGGTAGTGCTCAAGCTCTAGACTGAAGAAATGGTTTTGCACAGTGGGGCAAGAATTTGCATACAGTAGTTTCCGAGTGTAGAGAAATGGCAGGTACCTATGGCGATAAAAATAAATATCCGAAATAATTCATACAGGTTGTATTTGGTTATCGTAAAATAAAACACATAGAAAAGTATTTATTAACATTTTTGCTGTTGTTATAAGCCAAGTTTATTTATTGCATAATTACCTATATAATAACATAGGTAAGATGTAATAATTATAAAAATTATAATTTTATACGTACGATGCGCTTGACATGCTTTTATTGTTTCCACCATAGAAAAAGGAGTTAATATCATATTTATAGACATGATATTTTCGATAGACTCATAAGACAAATATGGTTGATCTTCGTGTTTACGTACAGTGTTGCCATAAAAGTTCCTGACCATAAATTACAAAATACTAAAATAATAATAAAAATGTAACAGGATAGAATAAAATAATTGTGCATATTTAGTAAATATACAATATTATTTACTGAAAATTTCTTTTGTTATTATTTTGATAGAAATTTGCAAATCACCCGATTTCACCCGCAAATATTACGAAAATACCCGATTTTCGAGTAAAATACTTGCAAACGGCAACACTGTGTCCCACTGACAGGTCAGCTGTGCTCTAATTGGTCAGCTAGCTAAGCTGGTCTCTCGATATTACGTCTAGAAGATTTGTTTGTAACAATGTTTAAATAGGTAAATATTTGCGTGTATCAAAAGAAACTATTAAAATAAAACGTACAGTCCCAAACAGCACACAGACATCTTTAAGACATCTTAAAGACGCCTTGCTTCGCTATTCAAGACATCCTTAAGACGTCTTATTTACGCCGCACGTCGTCTTTACGACGTCTTTAAGACGTCGAATGTTAAAAAACCCAACGTCTTTAAGACATCTTTATTAAGTCATTTTACGGCCATTAATGGACGTCGTAAAGACGTCTTTAAGGGACTAAAATATATTGCTAAAATTAAAAAAATCGTTCAAAATCCACTGAAACTTTTATTTTCTATTTTTAAATAAACAAAGTGTTCCAACTTTGAGGTGGAAGGTTGGCCACATAAAATCATACAGATAGCAAAATATTTGAAAAAAAAATCTTAAAACTTCTTTAATAATTGGGTTCTTCTATCTGATGCCCTTTTTAGCCAAGCTTGAATAGCAATTTCCGTATCTTTATCAAATTTGGCAAGACCCGATTTCTCCACTGATCCTAAAAAAAAAACGTATTAATTTACACAACAGCGGTTTGTTTGTTTTTTAACAGGTTTTAAAACTTGTAAATAGACAGCTATTTTATAAAAAATAATATTTACTTAAACGAATACGCTTCATGTTTCTTATTACCTATTTCACTGGATTCTCACTGCTGAAGATTGAAGACACGACACTGTTTGGTCCAAACAACGGCCATAAAATTAAGTTTTATAATTATTATAGTACTTACACTCACTCTCACAGTTCACAGTAAGTTTTATTTGTAAATAGCTAGAGACCGAAAAAGTTTAAATAAAATGCAAAGTCAAGCAGTATCAGTTAACAAAAATGTTTGTAAAAAAAAACAAACAAAATGGCTAATCATATGCCAATTCCGCTTTGACAACAGCGTTGCCGGAGTTCTCTTTGCACATTGCGCATGGTGGTTTGGTCAGATGTTTTATTTGTTTCTTTATTTCTATCGTGTTTGAATTTAATATTAAATCCTACAAAAAATTGCCTATACAGGCCCTGATTACAAATGCTGTAAGTTTTAATATTTTATTGAATACATTTTGTTGTTATATTTAATTTGTTGTAGATCTGCTAAAAATTAGTCGATCTGACAACGTTGTCCAGTTTTGTATTTAAGGCAAATTCCACAAGAGGGAAATAATAGAAGCGCGCTAAATTTAAAATTACCATTGGTATCAAATAATATTAAAATAGAGAGATTGTTGATATAAAAGTACCTATCTAAACTGTTAAACATAAGTATTTAGTATATATAGAGCAAATTCTTACACTTCACATAAACAGATAGTTTTGTATGGGTGTACATTTTTTTGAGTTTCTCAATAGGCAGTTAGGTTAAAATGTCCCAAACTAGGCTTTCATGGACGTCTTTAGGATATCACAAATTGCATATCTTTAAGACGTCTTCAAAAATACGCCTTTAAGACGTCCTTACTAAGTCTTTAAATGTATTCAAAAGTTAAAAAAAGTAATTAATTAATTTATACAGGTTATCTTAATAAAGTAAACGCCGCGTGTACAAATTGCAGTACAGCTGGTAGATCCTAGATAGTTTATATCCCGAAACAGACTTTAAAAAGACGTCTTTAAGACGTTACTAAATTGCTTGTTTTAAGACGTCTTCTCAAATATGTCTTTAAGACGTCGTTTTTAGGTCTTAAGACGTTCAGACCTTATTAAGACATAAACAAGACGTCTTAAGGATGTTGTGTGCTGTTTGGGGTGGCAACTCCTTTTTCTATGGTGGAAACAATGAAAGCATGTCAAGCGCATCGTATGTATAAAATTATAATTGTTATAATTATTACATCTTACCTATGTTATTATATAGGTAATTATGCATTAAACTTGGCTTATAACAACAGCAAAAATGTTAATATATACTTTTCTATGTGTTTTATTTTACGATAACCAAATACAACCTCTATGAATTATTTCGGATATTTATTTTTATCGCCATAGGTACCTACCATTTCTCTACTAAAAGCCTTATTAACTCTTCCAGAAGACTCCCAAATCTTGCTATTAGTCTGACTTAATAAGACTTATTCAGACTTTTTCCGACTTAATAAGTCTTATTCTGACTTTTTCCGACTTAATAAGTATTATTCAGACTTTTTAAGAGAAAGTAAGACTTTCTCAGAGAAAAATTTCCACAAGGGGGATTCCGGATTGTAAATGGCTAAAAATGCGTCGGTAACTTGTAGTTTGTACTCTTTCACACTTATGGGCTATGGATAACTACGATTTTTCCTCCCCGGTTTATAAATATGATATATAGATAAATCTTATTTTATTAACCTTTAATGTTATATATTTTTTATTACCTGAATATGTAAATAGAAGGCATTTAATTTCTCATCTTGTAATGACTGTAAGATGAATGTAAATAAATAAATAAAGTAAGCAAAACCATATGTAAAGAAATTTTATAACCTCCTGATTTTGACCCATTTTTTGTACATATAATATATATATATATAGGCATATAATATTATGTATATGTACAATTGGCGTCTCCGAAATGTTAACGATTTTTTGTTGTCATGGATTTTTTTCATAAAATTTCTTCGTTCATTCCTGGCTTCGGCCAGTGGTGTTACATATAGAAGGGAGAATACTAAGAATAAGAACAATATCCTAAATTGTTCTATTTTTTTAATAATATTTTAACAAACAATAATATAAACAATATAACAAATAAATTAACTTTAATTTGGTTTTATACAACAATATAAATTAACAAGTAGGTAAATACTCAATAAAAATAACATAACTAAATTAACATATTGCTCAAGAAAATTGGTTTTTAAGTGAAATAGCTGCAGATTTAAATGTCAGTAAAAGCTGCATATTTTATATCAAAAAACGTTGGCAAGAACAACAATGATTGAGAAGACCTATCAGGCAAGGTGTAGGTAAAATCTCCAACGAAAATGAAGACAATGCTCTTGTCGCACTTATTAGGCAAAATCCTTTCAATAGCGCATTTAAGGCCCGAGAAGATACACAATTTCCAGGATCTCTTCGAACAGCTCAAAAAAGATTAAAACAAGCTGGCTTAAAAAACTGTGCTGCTAAGCTATTTTAATACTTAATTGCAGAGCCATTAGCTGCCACAACCCTTTGCAACCTTCTTGGCATGGACATTATTAGCTCACGCATGTCGTATGCAAGCTCATCCCAAGAATTTTCAACAGCACTCCATAGTTCATCTCGGTTTACTGGCCTAAAGTCCCGTTGATATATATTTTTAACTATAAAACCCCACACTTTTTCAATGGGGTTTAATTCAGGGCTTCTAGCTGGCCATGGCAAAACAGTTATGTGGTTGTTGTTTACCCACTCTGTAACCACGCGAGCTGTGTGAACTGGTGCATTGTCCTGTAATATAATATTTATTAGAATCGTTTTTGAATACTATACAGTTTTACATGTTGGAATATAAAGTTTTCTGGAAACACATGTCTAACTAATGGTAGCATAACGTTGTCCAAAATCCTCGTATAGTGCTCAGCCGTTAATCTACCATCAATTTCCCAACATACTCCCGGACCATGGATGCTTATCCACGCCCAAACATTTATGGAAAAGCGTCCACTATTTGAGGTTCTTAATGTATAGTTCTCCTTAAATCTTGCGTTTCTTGGACGATATACACGCAGCCTTCCATTATTGCAAGATTGGAACGTTTTTTCATCCGAAAATATAACATTATTCCAAAAATCGTCTCCATAATTTAAATAGTCATTGGTGAACTGGACTCTCCTGTGCTTATTTTCGTCAGTTAAAAAAACCTTATTAGCAGCAGCACAGTTTTTTAAACCAGCTTGTTTTAATCTTTTTTGAGCTGTTCGAAGAGATCTTGGAAATTGTGTATCTTCTCGGGCCTTAACTGCGCTATCGAAAGGATTTTGCCTAATATGTGCGACAAGAGCATTGTCTTCATTTTCGTTCGAGATTTTTCCTACACCTTGCCTGATAGGTCTTCTTAATTTTTGTTCTTGCCAACGTTTTTTGATATAAAATATGCAGCTTTTACTGACATTTAAATCTGCAGCTACTTCACTTAAAGACCAATTTTCTTCTAATTTGGCTATTCCCCTTAACCTCTGAGCCTCGGTTAAGTGGGGTGGCATTTTTAATATTGCAATTGACAACTATTATCAAATTTGACAACGACCGACGACACTGATGCAAAGCCCATATTACACGATTAAATTTTGCCGTTCACATTTCGGGGACGCCAATTGTACTTGTCCAGCCTGGAGAAACTTTTATCTGGTAATCCTATGTAGATATAATGGATTGTAAATATTTTAAAAAGCATTTTTCCAAAGATAAAGAAAAAATATGCATTAGAAGTTTTTTATATTTTTTGTGATACGCCACTGATTACACACTTGTTTATCTCTGCACACCTGTATTTTGTGAGTACATAGATACCAACCAACAAAGTAGCTATGCGTTGCCAGATGTAAAAAATTGTTACTAAAAATGTTTCTTGCAAAAAATAAATAAAAACTCAATAAATACAAAAGTTTTATGCCCTTAAAGCTCTAATACCCTTCTGTATTTATTTACTGATCCAGCTATTAGCTTAAGCAATGATTAGAAAATTTAGTACCTTTGAAATTTGAAATCCATAACCACAAAATTAATTTTTTCATCAGTTTTTTTCTCTGTTTACTCAGATGAAATTGGGACCAGTTCACAGGTTAAACTTTAAACATTTAATTTGTGTAAATAAATCCAAAAGCACTTACCTTAGTTAAGATATTTACAATTTGAAAACATAACCTAAAATTTAAAATAAATGCACTAGATTCTGTCATAAAAGTTGGCAGATTTTGTTTGAATTTACCTTTAGTACAAAAATGAAATAACCAACAATTAATAAAAACGCCAAATTGACAATTTGCATTGTTAATTTTGTCATTTTTGTAATTAAGCTAAATTTAAACAATGTTTGTCAACTTTTTTGAGAGATTTTGGAAACTGTTGTTACCAACCATCATAATAAATCCACCAGATTAACCTAAAGTTCCTAGTCGATCAGTGGCGTACTTTTTGGTAGGATAAAGGTTATTATAAATTATTTTTAGACTTTGGAATTTAGAAAAAAAAGTTTTAGGTGCTTCTTTATGGACCCTAAGGAACAACCCATTTTAATATATAACATTAATTACATAACACCCTGTATACAAAATAAAAAATTTTAAATTTACACATTATTTTCAACATTGTATTTTTTTTATAGAGTGGGCACATTTGGTGGCATTATTGAATATGGAGCCGAAAAAAAAATTTCAAAGCATAGTCAGTTGTCATTTGCGGTAGCTTGTGGTGTGCCTTCTGGCGTTAAGTTGAAAATAAGGTAATATATAATGTTTTCAAACAGTTAATTAATAATTTAATTTATTCCATTTAAAGACTTACAAGAGCCAGCCAAGTATATTCCTTCCCAATTCATTTATGCGAGGAAATAATGCCGGCGCCCGTTTTTTATGCATCGATTGTTCCTATTGTGGTGTATATAGTGGTAAAAAAAGGCTTTGTGGAACCGTTTCTTAAAGAAGAAAAAAGCAAGAAAGTAGAAAAACAAAAACAAAATAACTTTAACAAATTAATAGAAAAACGCAAGGAAGCTATGGCCGCACAAGAGCTGATGACGGCCTCGTTTAACAGAATTAGAAACGAGGAAGAGAATAAAAAGGGTTTGGTTATTGTTAAAGCGATATATGGAAAATTAATCGACACGAATGCTCAAGGTGATACAGAATTGTCGAATGAAGTTATAGATGTTACAGTGCCTGTGCAATGTTTAGTCAAAGATAGTAAATTAGTTATTTATGAACATGGAAAGGTGTTACATCAAGTTCTATTTTATTTTTATAACTAAATCATTTGTTTTTAGAGTGAGTTAGCAGGATTTTTTGACCCGGCTTTAGGGGAAGACAAAATGCTGCACATTATTTATAATTATCGTGATCAGTCACATGAAGTCACAATTCCTGACAATGAATCTATAAGGTTACCTAAAACAAGTAAGTTACTAATAATGAGCGTAGAGTCTATCGAATTAACGCGCTCTGATTTGATTAGGTACTCCAAAGTGCTATATCTTGCTTTATTTTAAAAATTGGTAACAAAACATTCTTAAAGTTTTTCAAGAATTTCGTGATAAAAAAGTTATAAATGATAAATAAAGGAATTGGGATACCCAAACTTAAAGGGTTATTCATAAATAATGCTAAGGAATAAATTTCCAACACCTTTGGTTTAATTTGTAGAAATATATAGAAAGTAATATTGATTGTACATTTTTGGTAACTAAGCACGGTGCTGTTCTGAGAGGTGATTTTTGGACTTTCTGTGAATCCTAATTTTTTTTTATATTCTTGTCATAACTAAAATTTTAAGAGCAAAATAAAAAAAATTTGACGGTTTGAATTGTTTTAATTGGCTGTTTATTAAAAATATTATGCACTCTTTCAATTATCCAATTAAAACTAGCGATTTAATTTAAATATTTAATATTTGCTTAACTAAAAAAAAGGTTTTTACAATTTTTTTTTATATATTTTACTGTTTTGTTGCAATAAACGTTCAAACTTTTAATCTAACCTTTGACGTATACATTTATGTTCCCTTAATTAATATATCCTTAAAGGTTGCCATGAAACTTAGATCTATTAAAAATTTATTTGACGTTTGAATTGTCATTTTCAGTATACGTATTCTATAATTTTTGTTTAGTTTTTTAAAGTGTTTTTTATAAACAAAAATGAAAAATTGTAGTAAAAGTTACGAAGAAATTCATAAAATTTAACTAAGGACCGGTTTATTCATCTTTAGTAAAGTTTATCGGGCCGATAACTTTCATGTCTTGGCAATATCTAGTATCCAAAGAAATTATTCGTCAAATAAATCAAAAATTAATAAATCGGCCCTAAATAAAATGTGGCACCCTTAGAATTATTGTTTAATAAATGTATACTATACATTTAACCTTAAATTAAAACTTTAAACGTGTATTACAACAAAACAGTAAAAGATATAAAAAATGTATAGACCTTTTTTTAGGGAATTAACTAATCTTTAATCTGATTTAAAAAGTTATGATAATAGTTAAATAAAATCGCAAGTTTTATTTGGAGAATTAAAAGTGTGCATACATATTTTTAATAAACATCCAATTAAAACAAAATTAACCGTCAAATTTTTTTTATTTTGATCTTAAAATTTTAGTTGTGACCTAAATAACAAGAATATAAGAAAAATTAGGTTTCACAGAAAGTCCAAAAATCACCTATCAGAACAGCACTGTGTAAGAATCAGTACAAATTAAATGATCAGTATTTGAATTTTATGGTAAGTGCACTTTTCCATTATTTTATTTCAGTTGGTCAGTATAATAATAAATGGTCGGTGAAAATAACAAATGGTTGGGTTGGGTTGCATACTGGCCATCTATTAATTAATTCATACTGACATTTCATTAATTTTTACTGACCATTATAATCACAATAGTGAACATAGAAATACCGGCCAAATAATAATTTTACTGCTCCAAAATTCAATGCTTACTCATCATATTTGATAAAAGTACTGAGTCTTTTATATTATTTTACTGACTGCTTGTAATATTATACTGTACATAATGAATTAAATACTGTTCAGTTTATTATAACCCATTAAGAGTTATTTTTAACAGTATGAGTAAAACAGGAAATTAATATTCTTTCGTCATCTATAAACGTATATTATTAAATCTACATAGCCATTTTGAATACTACTATGGGTCGAATTTATTTATAGGGTGTCCCATGGTCACTGTAAAATATTTTAACCACGAATTCCTTGAGTAATTCCTGGAATTTCTTCTACCATACCAATTTACAAAATTTAGAAAGATTATCCACTTTTTAGTGAGCCAATACTTACAAGTAGTGTTGGTGGGTACGTAAAATTACCGTAAAAACGTAAATTTCGGTAAATTAAGAAATTATCTTTAAACAAAGGAGGGTTTTTTTATTTATTAACTTTCAAAGATTCCATATCAGGTACCAGTTATTAAAGAAAATAAACTAATAATTGAGTCAATCCTTATGAAAACGCCGAAACTCGTTGCTCGACCATCTTGAATTTTGCTCAAATTTTATAGAAATATTCATTTGGGTCCCTAAGGACAAAATCCACCGTTATTTATTTTTTCGCATGTGTCAAATCCGGTCTATTCGAATTAAAACTTTTTTATGCTTTAATAATTTAAGCTGTTATTTTTTTTCTATTACAGATGTTTTAAATTTTAAGATTTCATTTTAAAGATAAAAAATAGTAGTTTTTATAAAAAAATATAAATTCACTAAATCAATATTTTCTAAATAATTACACGGTGCTGAAAAATCGTGTACTAATTTTTCGTGTTTTTTAAATGCGGCTGTTTAATATGAACAGCTACTTTTTTTCATATATTAAGTTTACATACCAAAGACAAAATAAAACTTATTTCTAGAAAATCGCATTAGTATTAATTAGACAAAATGTAAAGCGAATTTAACTTAAAATGTTTATAAACTCTTTTTTAAGCTTAAAATGTATGTTACCATCAATGCTGCTTCTTTTTATTCTGATATCATTTCTGTGTTAATGTATATTAACATTTTTAAACCATCATTGCTGTAACAGAAGTGAATTTTTTTTTCAACTCCACCGTCTTTTCTACCTCACCTATGTTGCCAGATTTTGTCGACGCATCATTGATTCTTTTTTGTAGTAGAATCTAAATGTTATATTTGTTTCGAAAATAAATATTTAAATTTTTAAAACCCAATACTTTCGTCGTGCGACGCAGCAAAAACTATATTTTTTAATCAGAAATTTCTATTTTGCCGTTTTTCTTTTTTGGAATTTTAGCATTGTTTAGTAATAGAAATAGCGTTTATTAGAAATTTTTATTCAATCTTTTTTTTTCAATATCAATATCAAATAGGTAATATTTAATTTTTGTTTTGGTATTTTTGTAATAAATTATATTATTTTGGTTGTTTAAATAAATGTATTACATTTTTTTATTTGAACTAATTTATTTCATTTATTTTTTAGCCCATAGGACAAACGTCACATAGTATAAGACTAATTTCACCAAATGAACTTAGTTGAATAAAATTAGTTGAGTGATAACTTATATAGGCAGCAAATAATGGTAAAATTTGTACATTACCTGTACCAGTATGGAGCTGCTAAAAATTTGTTACAAATTAATTTTTAAAAAAACAATAAAATTGTTACTATTTTTAAAATGTTTTATTTTAACTTGTATCCATTATAGCTTGTGTATCCATTAATGCACTTATTTGTTGAATTTTAAAAACATTTGTTAAGTAATTTAACCCTTCAAATTTGTTTTGTCCTTCACCAGCTTTGGTCCAACTTTGGTCAGCTTCTAATTTGTAACTGCCTAGAAATTGGTGGGGTGCATTGGAACCCCATTCCTAAAAAGTATATTTTTATGCAAGAGTACCAAAATAACCCTAACGTCAGAATTGTTTTGACGGAACCTAGCTCAAATAAAAGAAAATTAATTAAATAAAATTGGAACATTTTTTCTTAAATTTTGTTAAATCTAATTATTTATAAAAAATCAATGTTTTTAAATATGTTGGGTTGGGTAAATTGAATTGATACATTCAAAATTTATGGAAACTTTGATAAAATAACAGGGTGTCCGTTTTTTAAAGCTAAGGGATATCTCGCCTATCTTATTTCGACAATTTTGAAAGCTAGACAAAAGATTTTATCAGATTTAAATTCCCCTTAAAAAACTGTCTTAATAATGTCTGAACAAAAATTTAAATAAAAATTAAAAATTCTCGTTTTTTTTTACAATATCCCGAAAACTCTGCATAAAAAGATGAAACTTTTCCTAATTTAACTAACTAACTATGTATCTCTAATTTAACCAACTTCACTGCGTCAAAATTAACGCATAATAAGTAAAAGTTATTTTTCGAACGTTTTTTTTATTATTAAATAAAAGGGCTTTAAAAATATTTTCTCGAAAAACCCTTGAACACGTAAACTGAGATATAAGTTAAAGTATTTTTATCCAAAATTTTGTAAAGATTGGTAAAGGCGTTTTAGAGTTAAAATTTTTTTACTTATGCGTTAATTTTGAGAACAAAAAATATTTCGTGATCATTTAACGAATTCTGGCCCCTTATTAATAATAATAAGGGATCAGAATTTGTTAAATAATAAGTTATTATTTTAAACTTACGTTTGGAGACAACATACTGAAGTATTTTTGTCCTGATTCCTTTTTATATAAATGGTAAATTTGTCCAGGTTTCTTTACAAAATTACAAGCTGCATTGTGTAAATCCATATCTAATTTACTTTCACTTAGCACATTAACCATTAGATCTTGTAAACTTTTCATCTTAAATAAAAAGACAATTCGTTGATATCATTATATTCCTATAAAGAGTAGGTAACACCAAAGATAATATATCTTTGGGTAACACCAAATATCCTAAAGTTCATTTTTTTATCTGGACTGGGGCAACGTTGCAAATTTAGGGTTTTGGTTGGTAAATACAGTTGTCAAGTTGGTCGCATTGATTAAAACAAACCAAGCTAGTTATAAATCCAATTGTGGTTATGTATAAATTATTGAAGTTGTTAAGTTGAGTTGTCGAAATTCGTAGTTAAAAATGCAATTAATTTGGCTTAAGTGGTGCTTGGATGAGTAAAATCATATAAAAAAAAGTAGATAAATATAGGTTGCTTTACGGCCCAGAAGAGAAAGTATTCCTAGCGGATAATAATCTTCGCTTTAAAAAGAATTTATATAAAGGAAAATTAAAATTTTTAGTGAACGTAAATGTTGTCCAATGGTGAATAATGTGAAAATAATGTGTGATGTAATATTTATAAAACCAAATTCGTTACTTTTTTACTCGAAAAATGTCCATAAGGCGATGTACTTTTTCTTCCATTGTGGCATTTGGCATAATTTCATCAAAATGAAGTTTTGCCCTCAAAAGGGCGTTTACATTCGAATTCGTTGCTATTATTTTTGGCATAATTATCTTTTTATTTATAATTGACAAGTAAATTATCGTAAGTAATATCATAAGGGCATTTAATTTTTCCGAAAAGAATCGAAAAAACACGTTGCTAAGTAATATTTTAACAAAAAGCATGAGTGCTGGTGGCAACAAAAATCCGAGTCGAAGAGGAGGATTTTTGCACCTGCACGAATGCATTTTGTAAAAAAATTTTACTTAGCATTGTGTTTTTTCGATTTTTTTCACAGGAAAAATTATATGCCCGAATGGTATTTGACAAGACTATTTCATGAGTAACAGTTAACAATTAAAATATAAATTGCAATTTTTGTTGACAACAGCTGTCAAGTTTTGCCGCGGGTAAACTCGAATAAACTGCTGACAGGTGCTGTCACACAGTTTTTTCACCTAGAAACCATTTGTAATTCAAAATTGCGCGTTTGTGATTGGTGGAAATTAAGACGAGGGAAATAGTCGTAAGTAATATCATCTAATTTTTCCGAAAAAAATCGAAAAAACACGTTGCTAAGTAATATTTTAACAAGAAGCATGAGTGCTGGTGGCAACAAAAATCCGAGTCGTAGAGGAGGATTTTTGCACCTGCACGAATGCATTTTGTTAAAAAATATTACCTAGCATTGTGTTTTTTCGATTTTTTTCACAGGAAAAATTAGATGCCCGAATGGTATTTGACAAGACTATTTCATGAGTAAAAGTTAACAATTAAAATATAAATTGCAATTTTTGGTGACAACAGCTGTCAAGTTTTGCCGCGGGTAAACTCGAAAAAACTGCTGATAATTTTTTCGATATCTCTAACGCGATCAAAATATCGACAACTGACCCTGTTTGTGAATTCGTAGTTCAGATTTCAGTTGAGTACCTCAAAAAATGTGACTCATAAACCTGTATGAATGTGAAAAAATTCAAATATCTATTCCTTCAAATAGCGAAAATATGGGGGTTTGTCGAAACTGTAGATGTGTTACGGCAAAATTTGTATAAAAGAGTAAATTTTATGAAAAACAAAATTTTAACAATCATATTTTAAATATACTTTTGCGCATCAAAACATGTAAAAAACATTTTTCCTCGGGCCCAGAAGTTAAATTGATTTTCAATTGTTTATGATAAATATGATATTTATCATAAACAATTGAAAATCAATTTAACTTCTGGTCCTGAGGAAAAATGTTTTTTACATGTTTTGATGCGCAAAAGTATTACTTTTTGTAAAGATAGGGTTGCCAGATCTGTCATACACTCACAGGCAAAATAATCGATCCACACAAATTTTCGATGAATTTTAATCGCAAATAACTTTTTTATTTGATTTCGGATTTAAACAAATATTAAAGAATATTGTAGATACATTAATGGAGCATCGCAGACATTTTAAAAAAATACTAAAAAATAGACGTACGTTTATAATATACAGGTTTAAACAAAAAGATATTTTTTACCATAAGTTTAAAACACTCTGTAGAGTGGCAAAACCGTATATTGTTCTAAATTGTTTATTTATTTTATTTTTCAAGTCACATCTATTCTTAACAGTTTTGTTTTTGGTTCACCTCGATATATTTTCAAGTCACATCTATTAAGAATAGATGTGACTTGATAAATAAAACTTAATTTACTAAAATATACGGTTTTGCCACTCTACAGAGTGTCTTAAACTTATGGTAAAAAACATATTTTTGTTTAAACCTGTATATTATAAACGTACGTCTATTTTTAGTAATTTTTTAAAATGTGAGCGATTGTCCATTAATTTATCTACAATATTCTTTAATATTCGTTTAAATCCGACATCAAATAAACAAGTTATTTGCGATTGAAATTCATCGAAAATTTGTGTGGATCGATTATTTTGCCTGAGTGTAGGTTCTATGGTCATAAGTTATGACCTTTATAATTTGTGGTTATGACTCATAACCACAAATTATAAAGGTCATAACCAAGGACCGGATTTTAGGCATTTGTTTGGGACCTTGAAATTAATCCTAAACTTAAAAATATAAAGCGTTTGACACCCTTTTGTTTTTGCCTAAAAGCCTAAAATGGCGAAAATTTGATTTATTGTCCTAATTAACTTGTGTAATACAACCTTTTGTAAATAACACCAATAAATAATTTGAAAAGGACATTTTTATGAGCCTAAAATAGCCTCTTTTAATTTTTCAGAAAAAAATATATTTTTCATTGCAATAGACGTCTCGTAACTTAGAATCAATACATGTAAAAAACCTGGGCCCAGAAGTAAAATTAATTTTTAATTGTTTATAATAAATAAATTTTATTTATAAGAAATATGATTACTGATCGTTATAATTTCGTTTTTAGTCTCTGTTTGTGAATGTAATGTTAATATTTGTTTAGTTTTTCTCAAGGTTTTTCTTCAAAGATTTAATCTATAGTTTTATTAGCTCCTGACATAGAATAAAAGTAACGAATTTTACACTTTTTAATATTGTTGTTTTTTGTCATGATGGCTAAGAATTAAGTGTGTATTTTTTTATGTAAAATTTAATAAAGGATCAAATTCTGCGTACCATCCTGCAGAGAAGCTGTTGATGAAATCATTGGTAAAATTGACAAAAGGGTTTCAGAACATGCTTATTTAAATAATTATATTATTTTTATGTAATTTCCTAATTGGGTTAACCTACCTGTCTGCCAATAATTTCCAGTTTATTTTGGGCATTTGATTGAATAAATGTTTGTGACTACAAGAAAGTAGATATTTTAAATACATTAAAAAAATAAATTATAATTAATTACTTTACTGTGTGTTTCTGCCAGTTCCATGGTTTCCTCAAAAGAATGTTTTCCTACTTTCAATGGGTTAACTAAGGCTACACCATTGGGCTCAAAGTTTCTTTCCACCAAAAGAACTAAAAAAACGTAGTTTATCTTAAGGAGAAACAGCACTTTGTTGGCAATTTTTGGCAGGTTACGTTCACATACTTCCACACATATACAAATCATATCTAACTGAGACTGTTTCCTTTTGTTGGGTTAAAGTAGGAAAAAGTAAAATTACAATTATAATTATTACCTATACAGGGTGGCCGATTTATCTGAAGACATTGAAATATTTCGAAAACTATGCATCGGATCAAAAAAAGTTTTGAATAAAATTTGTTCGCCTGGAAGGGGGACATCCAATGATACCAAAGTCGACCCCTCACCACCACCCCATGGGGTGGGGGTGGGGGCAACTTTAATATTCTAAATAGGAACCCCCATTTTTTATTGCAGATTCGGATTTACTATTAAAAAATAAGTAACTTTTATGGAAAAACTTTTTTTAAATTCCTGATAGATGGCGCTGTAATCGCGATTTTTGGGAATATCTTGAAAAATTGCAGATTCGGATTTCCCATTAAAAAATATAATTAGTGTATACGAGAATTGTAAGGGAATTCAAAATAAATTAAATTAATTAATTCCTTTTGATGTTCCCATGTTCCCATGGCCATGGGGTGGGGGTGGGGGCAACTTTAATATTCTAAATAGGAACCCCCATTTTTTATTGCAGATTCGGATTTACTATTAAAAAATAAGTAACTTTTATGGAAAAACTTTTTTTAAATTCCTGATAGATGGCGCTGTAATCGCGATTTTTGGGAATATCTTGAAAAATTGCAGATTCGGATTTCCCATTCTTGGGTAATTTTAAAAATAGATGTTAACTTATTGATATACGAATAAAATCCAAAAATTAAACAAGTTTTTCTTTTTTTCGATCCGATGTGTAATTTTTTAAGATATTCCCAAAAATCGGGTTTCTTGCGATTACAGCGCCATCTATCAGGAATTTAAAAAAAGTTTTTCCATAAAAGTTACTTATTTTTTAATAGTAAATCCGAATCTGCAATAAAAAATGGGGGTTCCTATTTAGAATATTAAAGTTGCCCCCACCCCCACCCCATGGGGTGGTGGTGAGGGGTCGACTTTGGTATCATTGGATGTCCCCCTTCCAGGCGAACAAATTTTATTCAAAACTTTTTTTGATCTGATGCGTAGTTTTCGAAATATTTCAATGTCTTCAGATAAATCGGCCACCCTGTATATATAGAGAATTTTTTTCATCTTATTGGTGGTAACCCATGGAGAAAGAGGAAATTTCTCTCCATAATTCAAGACTGAGCCACTTTCTCAATTGAAAACGTATAAGAAATGCACAAATTTTTAAATATGATTATAAAAAAATTATGTATGTCTCTTACCTTTATTATTAGTATTTCCTGAGCAGTTTTCACCACTATCATAGCTTCGTTTCATTTTAACTTGTTATTTATTTTTTTTTTTTATTTATTTAAAACGAACTTATTATAAATTTGGTTATATTTTCGATATAAATTTAGAAAATTATCTAAAAATAAACACAGATTATAAAGGTTATAAATAATAAAGCAAATTTAGCAATAAAATGACAGATTATAAAACTTTAGGGTTATGGGTTACATCAGCGTTACCAAAACGTTCTTAAAAAGTAAAATTAAAAATGCAAGTTATATTCAGTTTATAGATTTAAGCTATACTGTGTACGTATACAAGTGTTATTTTTAAAATAAATCAATTTAAATAATATATAAAATTTATGGGTCAAACCACATATTTGGTATACAGTTTGAGTAACACTGAAATTAAAATAAGTTCTATTTATTTATCTAAGAATAAGTGTTGCCAACCGTCAACTTGACATTAAAAAATTAAAATTTAACCTATATATATATTTTAAAATGTTTCGGTCTTTAAAAAATTTGTGAGTTTTTAATTATTTAAAATATTATGTTTAATTATTGTATATTTTAGTTGTAATAACCAGCAACTTTTAGTATTATCCTCCAGAAATTTATCTAGTACAGAGATATCAACAGCATTAAGACCTTTTTATTTTTCTGTTCATCCAGATTTATTCGGACAGCACCCTTATGAAAGAGTAAGGTTTTAAGCTTTAAAGCCAAGCTTTAATTTAATGTAATATGCTATTTTTAGACCACAAATGAAAATTCCTTAAAAACATTAAGTTCTGTTCTACAAACTATTAAATTAGGTAAAAACATAAGGCCTACAACACTCCTATTTTATGTGAAAGATAAAGTATCAAAAAACACTTTAGATGGAAAGATTACATTTCGTTCAGTTAAAATTAACATTAGGGACAGGGATATCAGAGCAGCAGTGGTTAACATACTTAAAACTTGCAATTTAGAAACAGATTACTTAGATAAAATACCTTACCCAACTGCCAGATCATCTAATGAAAACATTAAAATAAAGACTGACGATATTGACTTTACAAAAGTAAACCAAAACCATCCCATGTATGCTCATGCAGCATTCAGAAAAAAAGTAAAGGATGCACAAGATCTCTTAAAATTAAAAAACTGGCTGAATAAAAATCATAAAGATGCATTGACGAAATCTGAAAAAAATAGACCTTTTAAAGAAGAAATTGATAGATTATGTAAAAGCATATCACAACAATTAGGATTAAAGGATATTGTATGGGATTGTGGATGGAATGATACTCATTTTAGGGGTTGTCTTTTAAGCTTTAAATCATTGATGGAACAACATCCCAATAGTATGCATCTTTTAAGAGGTAATTTACTATTTTAATATCTACCCCTCCCCCTCCATATCAGTTAGTGCTCTAGTCTGTAATTGTGCGCCAATCTGATAGTCTGTGGTTAAAACATGAAATTTATTTACTTACAATGGGCGGTAATTTAGCACCAGTTAACCTTATAACCGGTTATTTGAAGGTAGATTAACTAGATAGGTTATTTTAATTTTTCAAATAACCAGTTAACTGTTAAGCAGGTTTTTTTCATAACTGCGCATTCCCAATTTTTTGCCTACATAAGCTGGCTTACTTAGTTTTTGTTACATCAAAAAACAAGTAAGCCAGCACTTAATTCTGTCTACCATTGAAAGGAGCAAAAAATGTACGCATAAAAGTGGACTAATAGTTTGGCTCTTGGGTACAGATATATTTATTAAAAGTGTGATTGCCCATTACTTATGTGCTATACGCTAAAGAAGTATCGCTAGTAGCGCCACCACTCGGCTGTTCATCATCGTAACAAAAGTATAATGTTTAATATTAATAATCAGCTGTCAAACGCTTATTTTACAAACAAGTGTTTTTGAGAATAAAGCCGAAAAATATTTAAAAATATCGAGAAAAAAAACCGTGGTTCGATTTGTTGTGTTGTTGGGTGTATTTCGAGAGGAAATCCTGGGTTAAGTTTTTAACGGTTTTCCAATAAACAGTGTTAATCTGAATGAAGAAATATATTGCATACAGTCTCTGTAAATATAAATTGTACCTATTAGATACAATAAATACACATTTTAGTAGTGATTAACGTGAAAAGTGTAAAAATTTCAATTCAGTAAAAATCGTCAAACAAATGAGTCGTCTAAATTTAAACAGCATTTAGCATTATTAAAAGCTTTGATTAAGAAAGTCTCCACTCAACGGTAAAATACCATTATATTATGTATTAGGTATATATAATATTATGTTGCCATGAATTCGTAGGTTTATTTTGTTGTTTAAAATGCAGTTGTCGGCGTTTTTTATAGAAGTCAAATATAAAAATGGTTGATTTTAAGGTTATGTTTGTGCAAAAATTATTTTTTACTAATTTCTTAAAAATGTCCAAACTTAAATATAAATTAGGTATATTAGTTAATTCTGCACCAACAAATGTACCGAATTGGATCCTTTGGCAAAACATGAAAATGCAACGATTTAGTTCTTGAGTTGTATTTACAATTAAAATCACAATAATTCACCATGACCCCTTTGATAAAATACACACACTAACGTTACTATATAAGCATTTAAGCGTTGAGTTTCTTAATCAATGATATAAGGAATAATCAATCGAAATCGAGTAGGTACTAAAAAAGTTTTTTAATTTTTTTCTGCAACGTAAAACACAAATAACGTGCGCGATTTAGCTGTGCAATTGAACAAAATTTGAGAGTAACAGGGCCGGATTAAGACAATTTGTCGCCCTAGGCCAACAATAATGGCGCCTATAATTAAAGCCTATGTATTAGTACCTATGGTATTAATATTTATATTATATAACACAATACATGTTAGCCGTCAGGGGTGCAAGGGGGACAAGTATGGTTTTATAAAAAAATTACAATAAAATGAATAAATAAATCATTTATTTTTATATAGAAAAAAAAACAATACTATAACTTAATTTTTACAATTTTTAAATAACCTAAAACAGAATTTTACCTATAAAATTTCGTCACTTTGACGCCTTTCTGCACAAGGGAACCAACCCACAGAAATAAAATATCGAGATAATTAACCCATATATCCCGATTTTTTATTTTCGTGGATTATTTATCTTCTGCAGAAAGGCGTCCAAGTTTAATTGATTAATTTTAATATTCAACCTACCTAAAAAAAATTTAGCCTTCTGCCTGGGCGCCTATTGGCTTCGCGGCGCCCTAGGCCATGGCCTAGGTTGGCCTATAGGTTAATCCAGCACTGTCGAGTAAGACTTCTGCCTTCCTCTCTTTTGTAAAAAACTACCTATTTATTTAAAAATGATGTACAGTTGGTATGCTTTAAATGTATTGTTGACAATTCTTAAATTCAAGCAATGCATTCGAAGTCCACCAGATGGCGCGCGCGTTGCGAAAACCCGATACTTCTTTAGCGTGTAAGTAGAGATGTAACGTGAATAAAAAAACATCCGTTTTTGTTTGTTTTTTTCGGTTTTTACTGTTTTTTCACATTTTATGTTTTTTTTTCAAACTTTCTTTTATTAATCCAATTAAGCATTGTTTTGACCTTTTGGCCACATTTTCGTATAAAAACAAATTTAATTTAGTGGTAAAATAAAAACTTGTAAGCTGTTGACTTTAGAAAAAATTTAATACATTTTTGTAAGACACAAAACATGTATTTTGTGGAAATATTACATTATCCAACAGGCGGAGAAAGCGCTTATTAAAGCCGAGCTCTACATAGTCGAGGCAGCAGATCTGAGCGAGGCAGTTAATATGCTTTCTCCGCCGTGTTGTCTATAGACAACACGGCGAAGAAAGTATATATACTATTTTTATCAATGATTTATTTAAGCGTTTAATAATTCTAGACTTATATTGGAATTCTCGAGTTTGCTAAATTTTGTCATAGGTTTGACGTTTGAAATATGTAATATTTTAGGTTATATGTATGAATTTATTATACAGTGACCTGTAATTTTTACTGTTATTTACACTTATTTAAGTGCGATATATATACTTAAGTATATGTAGTTCCATCCAACCTTTATAATCTGTGGTTCCATCTATTATTATTATTATAATAACCATGTAATTCCAATGCATTTTTATTATTGTACGGCGGTGTATAATAATTTGAATTTTAAACAAAAAGTAAGTATTTCTACATAGGCTCATGAGTGTTATAATATTAAAATTGTTATAAGCTTGAAAAAAAAGTCAAGATTAATGGATTTTTACTTAAATAATATTTACCTATATTAATAATGTTTTTCCACTCATTTTATTTTTTAGGTGCCAAAAACTATTAAAACTTAAAAAATATTTCAAAAAATCAAAATAATTTTTGACAAAATTTTAAATTTTGATAACAAATACATAATATAGTAGACCTTAAAATATTGATTTTAGACTTTTTTGCAGAAGACATTTCCTACAAAAAAGTATTTACTTTTTTTCAAGTCAACCGTTTACAAGTTAACAGCAAAAAAACATCAATCATTAGGAAATCGAAACTTGGAACCATCAATACATATATATACAGGGTGAGTCATTTAACTTGAAACTGAAATATCTCAGTTAGTACCTAAGTATGCATTTTACAAAAAAATGTTTGAAATAAAAATTAAATGATTCGAGGGGGGAAATCAATCAGTACTAAAATTGGTCCTCATACTCTCCTGCTTATAGGGGGAACAGGGGGTAACTTTAAAATTTCCAATGGAACACCCTATTTTTTTCGGATCATTCAACATTTTTTCATATTTGTAATAGATGGCGCTGTAATGAAAAAAAATCAATTTTGTTAGATTTTTCTTCTGTATACGATTCTCCAATAATTTTTTAAATTTATTTCGTTTTAATATTCTGCTAACACTGCTCTGGGATATTCCCAAATCTCTGCTAATATATTAATTTCATTATTTCCACCTATGACTGTTGTTTGTGGTAAACTGCTTGACTGTACGGTGAAATGAAGTACGTGATCGAATTTTTTCCGGAAAACGCTGAGCATAGATATTAACAGCATCATCAAGATTCCTGCCTGCTTCCTCATAAATCAAAATCATTTCTATGTTTTCTTCCACTGTTAAAAAATCCATTATGAATAACTGCTTAACGAAAGGAGGTATTTTTGTTTGCAAATTAATCTTCGAACTAAATTGATTAAATAATGCTAAACTATGTATAAATAGTTTCTTTATACCTCAATAATAATTATTATAAATAATAATTATGATTATTATTTATAACTAAATACCATTTTTTATACCTCAATTAGGATTAAATTAAATAATTGACAAAATAATGTTTTTTTTTTAACTTAAATGAGGTATTTTTATTAAAAATAGTACAATAATCCTTTAAATTAAAGGATTTAATGGTGGCAGGTAAAAATTGACCATGGTGCGCAATTGATAATTATCACTGAATGAAATAATCTATAAAACTAAAACCAAAGGAAACTTAAATATTATTTATTACAAATATGAAAAAATGTTTTAGACAAAATCTACCTATTTTTAGTCGAATGATCCGAATCTGCAATAAAAAATAGGGTGTTCCTTCGGAAATTTTAAAGTTACCCCCTGTTCCCCCTATAAGGAGAAGAGTATGAGGACCAACTTTAGTACTGATTGATTTCCCCCCTCAAATCATTTAATTTTTATTTTAAACATTTTTTCGTAAAATGCATACTAACTGAGATATTTCAAAGTTTCAAGTTAAATGACTCACCCTGTATCTGAACTGAACAAACCACAAATTTTGACTCAATGCAACAACAAACGATAACGCGCACTGTCCTTTTCCAGCACACGCTTAAGCGCGACATCGGATTCACGTACAATTGTCGCAGAATGCCGATTATAAGACAAAACTTTCGCAAACTTCTCCCCCTTATCACGAAATTCTTTGCCTGCCTATCCACACATAAAATAAAACTTATATACGTAAACTTACGTATAACTTTCACCCCAAGCGGCTTAAAATAAAGAGCTTTGTAATAGCTCAAAATTTTTGTTTTCTGACCAGTTACAAGATTTTCAGGTCAGGAAAAAAAATGTCGCTCTAAATTGAAGCACCCTACGCCGCGTATTTAACTAGAAAAACACCGTGTCCAAAGTTATTTGTTCACCATTAACTTATTATTATTATTCATTAATGATATAATTATATCGCAGTCAGCGGCATTTATTAATATAAATAATATTAAAATCCAAATACAGACAGTACAAATTGCAGTGGCGACTGGTGCTTGTTAAAACTGGGTAGGTCAGCTCAGTAGCGGGTCCACAGTTTGCTTGAGGGGGGGCTCCCTGATATCAGTCAACA